CACTATATGAAAAATCAAATATTTCATAGTCTCTTTCATCATCAGCCTCTAATTCGCACAACAAACAGTCACGTGGGTAGCCTTGAAAATAACCAGTACCTGAGCTTCTCATTGACTGAAATATAAATGGAATTCATTGAACATAAAAGATGGCAAGAATTGACTGTTCTTGTGAAAATAACTGAAGCTAGAATATATTATTCTTGAACACTTCCTTTGGTTAGGATTTGGTATTATAAAAAGTGTTTGATCATGTTTTCATAAATGTTTTTTTACGTTTTACCTCATTAACTAGGCTGTCAGCGATGACGATTTTCGTATTTTTTAAAAAACCACAAGTAAAAAACTCTGATGTTTGCATCGCAACAGTATAAGGATTTATCTGGTGAGCTGAAAAATATACACAAATCATTAAAATCTTGGTGTCATTCTAATTCGTTATTTGAGTCTGTGCACCTGGGCTGCCCAAATACATTTATGGTATTGAATTGAGTTTAAATCATCCTGTCTACAACGGTGGGAGATAAGACGTATAAGCACAACAACATTTCTTACATCATTTACCTTCAAAAGTGTTTTCAATCACTTCGTAAGCAGTAGGTCGGTAATTTGGTTCAAATGTTAAGCAATCCTCATATAGTTCCCTCAAAGGACCAACCTCCTCAATGTTCTCAGGATAATCAGGCCATTCTAAATTTGGCCTTTCACGTGACAATTTATTTGGCCATGGTTTATCACCGGATATCATAAAATGCAAGACAAGACCAAAGGAGAAAATGTCACTTTTCATGAATGATTCAATGTCGCTGCAATTATTGCTTTCTAAAATGTTAATTTTATTAAAGCACAATCATTGGGTCAAAGACTTTTTTAATGCTAAAATTGAGAAATTGTGTTACCAAAAATTTCCGGTGCACACCATCTATTATGCAACTCCTCATTGATATTATTGGACTTCTTATGATGAAGAGCAAGACCAAAATCTGCCAATTTCAAACGCATTCGCTTCACACCTTTCTCAAGCTGCAATGTTTTAAGAAGTTTGCTGAAATGATGTGGAGGTCTTTAATACTTATAATACATCACCATACCATGCATTCCTCAGTGCCAAGTAATAGAATTTTTTTAACATTATTGTTTCTGATTTTTGCAAAGCAAATTTCTAATTTGACCTATACCACAGACAGTCTATTGCAGTCCAATCTAAAGTGTGTTTGTCATAAATTTAATGCTTGTTGAACTTACAATACACACTTTGGATTTATGTGAAGATACTGACAGATTATAGCCTATTTTGAAAATGAAAACTACATTATTTGTGTATATCCTAAAGGGCACAATTTGTACAAGTCATTGATACAGTTCAACTTACCAAGATGTTATCAGGCTTCAAATCTCTGTGTGCGATTGAGAAACTGTGCAAGTAATATAGGCCACTCATAATCTGCTCAGCAAAATCCCAAACTTGACTAGAAAGCAAACCTTTTACTTCTGGCGACTTCAAACCATCAACATGTGAGAATAGGTTGTCAGGAATATATTCCATAACTATCATGCAGCTACCTTCCTCTAGTTTATATTTTGCAATTTTATTTCTTAAAGTAACCATTCCACGATATGCAACAATATTGTCATGTCTCAACAACCTGACATTTCAAATAAATAAGAAATTACAAGTCTTTCTCCATACAAACAACAAAAATGCTAATACTTTTTGAATATTGAATGTGCATGCAAGTATCTTAAATAGAGCTAATGAAACCAGATCATAACCTTAAAATTTTCACTTCATTTGTTGCAGATGAATTCAATTTGTGAAGTACTTTGACAGCAACTGTTGATCCTTTCGTCTTTGCTTTGAAAACATCCCCAAATGCGCCATGACCAATAGGAAGTAATGATTTCGTGATATCATCATGATCAATGTTTTCCAGTTCTATAAACAGGAAAAGCTTTCTCTCAAGTAAATGCCATATCCACTTTGAACATGGCAAGTTGACTTGAAAGTAAGATGATGTGCATACAAATTTTAGGAGGTCATAAGGGAAATCCTGCAGGGACAATCAAACCTAATTTTTCTAAAGATAACAGAACTGTTGGCTCATAAAAAGCAATTTCTTCACTTAGCAGCAAAAAATGGAGGTTGAACAACTACCACCGTCCACCTATAGTCCATATTTAACTATAGTGACAGGATAAACTGACCATGCTATGCTGGTTTATCCTTAAACTTTAATTTAATCCATCCTCTCTACATTACAAACTAAAGATAAAAACAAATACCTTGATTTCTTTTGTGCTCCAACACCAATTTGACACATTCCTTGATTGTTTTCTGGCTTTCAATGATTTCTTGCAAAACTTTTCGATCTTCTTCAGTGATCACGCTTCGCAAGCGGTCTATAATACTATGCAATTTATTAACACAGTTATTTATTATTCCCTCAAGATTTTCACTATCAAAATTACTTTTCAATAAGCTGGCAGGCATTTTACAAAACAAAAGAGTGAGCAATTCAAGGATTATACAAAGTTTTGTGCCAAATGTATCATCTTGTCTTGTACGTCATCAAGTTTTTTGAAACAACCACCTGCGAACAGGTATGGCGGAAATTTCATAGTACCGTGAAGTATTGTTATGATTGTTATAGTAAGATTTGTTCGTTGGAAGATTACTTAGCAATCGCTTCATAAACAATAGAAATGGTGCACGTATTGCACAAACATAGGAAGAGAATTCATGTAATTTATACGGTGGCCCATAAGGGACACGACTTCTTTATACAAAACTTACGTCCAGTTTCTCCGTAGAAATCGACCTTCTCCGTAGAAATCGACTTTCTCCGTAGAAATAGACCTTCTCGGTGGAAATAGACCTACTCCGTGGAAATAGACCTTCTCCGTGGAAATAGACCTTCTCCGTGGAAATAAACCTTCTCCGTAGAAATCGACCTTCTCCGTAGAAATCGACTTTCTCCGTAGAAATCGACCTTCTCCGTAGAAATAGACTTTCTCCGTAGAAATCGACCTTCTCCGTAGAAATAGACCTTCTCCGTAGAAATAACTACCGTGAAATTGGCACCACATTGGGCCACATTCAACACAACACTCATCACAACATTCAACTAAAATTTATCATTCAAAATGATAAATCGAAAAATCGTCTTTAAAACACGTTTTCCATCAAATACAACAGTAAAAAACAATTCTTAACTGTTTATTACTATTTTACTGTCCTTAACCATCACAAAGAAAGTATAAAAGTAAAAATATTGAAGAAAACACTAAACTTTAGGTTACAGTGTACTTTTCATTTCCCTTAATTAGCGTATAATTTAAAAACTACACGGTAGAATTTTTTTAAACTCGGCCAGAATATAGATAATTATATTGTCGAAAATATATCGAAAATCTTGAGAGTGCACAAAAAATAAGTTGTAGAAAATCATCGACATAGTTAGGTGACACGAATGCGCGTAATATGATCTTATATAATTAAGTTAAGAATTTCAAGTCATTGCTAAACAAAGGCCTATAAATAAGAAACTACACGGTAGAATTTCTTTAAACTTTGCCATATTGTAAATATTCTTATTGTCTATAACATATCCAAAATCTGGAGAGTGCACAAAAATATAAAAGGAATAATATTCCTTGAGAATGTACTCTGGTATAAACCTTGAAGTTGGCACCACATTCAACAAACAGCTATCAAGCTAAAAAAATACACTGTGAATTTTTTAAACTCAACTATATTATAGAATTTTATATTGCCTAAAATATACCCAAAATTTGGAAAGTGCACAAAAATATAAATGATAGAAAAACATCGACAAATTTGGATGACTCAAATGCGCGTAGTATAATATAATTCTCGACTTAATTATATAAGATCATATTACGCGCATTCTTGTCACCTAACTATGTCGATGATTTTCTACAACTTATTTTTTTGTGCACTCTCCAGATTTTGGATATGTTGTAGACAATAAAAATATCTACAATATGGTAAAGTTTAAAAAAATTCTACCGTGTAGTTTTTAAATTATACGCTAATTAAGGGAAATGAAAAGTACACTGTTACCTAAAGTTTAGTGTTTTCTTCAATTTTTTGATTTTTATACTTTCTTTGTGATGGTTAAGGACAGTAAAATAGTAATAAACAGTTAAGAATTGTTTTTTACTGTTGTATTTGATGGAAAACGTGTTTTAAAGACGATTTTTCGATTTATCATTTTGAATGATAAATTTTAGTTGAATGTGGTGATGAATGTTGTGATGAATGTTGTGTTGAATGTGGTGCCCAATGTGGTGCCAATTTCACGGTAGTTATTTCTACGGAGAAGGTCTATTTCTACGGAGAAGGTCGATTTCTACGGAGAAAGTCGATTTCTACGGAGAAGGTCGATTTCTACGGAGAAGGTTTATTTCCACGGAGAAGGTCTATTTCCACGGAGAAGGTCTATTTCCACGGAGAAGGTCTATTTCCACGGAGAAGGTCTATTTCCACGGAGAAGGTCTATTTCTACGGAGAAAGTCCGATTTCTACGGAGAAGTTCGATTTCTACGGAGAAACTGGACGTAAGTTTTGTATAAAGAAGTCGTGTCCCTTATGGGCCACCGTAAATTTAACTACAACCAAACAACCTCTGACAAAAAAGCAACCACTGCCACCATCTTTTCGTCACGTGATTTAATTGCGTGACGTTTTAACACCCTCCGTACGATTATTATGACTAATGTTATATTTATGCAATAAAACTAATAATCCTTTTGATATGAACAAAAATGATTTCATTTTCATCGAATTGCAATGTATCATAAGTATGTAATAAAAAGTACATGCGTTGTAACAAGTTGTGTGTTAAGTTACGATGTTGTAAAACTGTTGGGTGTACCTGAAATGTGTGCTTAGGTGTTATAAATTGTAAAATGGTGAAATCGGCTAAACATAATGAAAAAAAGAAATCAACAAGTAAAAAAAAATGAAATAGGAAAAATTTACGAAAGGAAAGCAAACGAAATCTATTCTCAAAGTTTGAATTGAGAAAAAAATTGTTTGTGGAATCATAAAGAAAGATCAAAGCCGCAATGTAATCAGCAAAATATGAATTTAAAGTTAATTGTATTATATACAAAGAAAAAATGCCTAGGACACACATTCTGGCTCCTCCTCTTAGTTGTTCAAACCTCTTCTTCTGCTCAGAGCTGACTGTCGAGCTTGACTTTGCGCGTTTCGTTGTCTTGAAAGACGTAGACTTCGGCTGGAATGAACAGAAATCAACGGCATATAATATTTTGTTTGTTACGTGGCAAGTTATGAACTGTTACGGAGAAAGAATTTTCAGTTTCGTTTCTCTTAAATTCTGAATGGTTTGAACCAGAGAGTATTGTTAGATATACGTACGCGTATAAAAGTAGATTTACCAGATTAGGACAGTTTTGAGAAGGGCTGTTGATGTTGGTGTGAAGGATGTAGTAACGTCAGTGAACACCATCACTAACAGTCCTTGTTAGGATTGCACAAACCTAGACTACCTACATCTAAAACCATGCAACTACAAACAATCAATGAAAAATGGTGCGTTTTATCGTGTGCAGATACATGCAAACCAAAACTAAAATGTATTAACATCTATTTTTGACCATCTACCCGCATGACTTTATTTACCAATGTAAATATTTTAATAGATTTATACCTTGTCGAGATTTTAACCGCTTTCATATCTTGTTTGTGATTAACTGGTTTCCTACTCTTGACCTCGGGAATTTGTTTTCCATGAGACAGGGCTGGTAGTTTACCTGTGTACGGTGTGTAGTTAAGGCGTTTTGAAAGGCTTGCTTGTAAGTCAAATTTCTTACGAGGAGTTGGTGAAGCAAATGGTAACGCATTCGAAGTGAATCTAAAGAAAAAATTTATAACACTTCAAAACACTTCATTGCAACTGTAATTGGTAGCCGAATTCATATGACCTGAAAGGGATAGCTGGTTTGTCGCAAATTTTGATTGATTTGTTGCATCCCTTTCTTGTGGACGGAGTTCTCACAGTTTCTCATTCGATGTTGACGAAATGTTGAAAGCTAGCCTCTTTTTCCACAACCCCACTTCGCTCGGTTTTGCTGGGACGTCGACGTCCACTAATGGCTTGGCAGAGAATTATGAAACAAGGAATTCTGTTAATGACAGTGGCGTAGCTAGCGGTCTGGCTGGTCGGGCCCAGCCCGACCAAATATTTTCCCAAAAATGAAAAATTTGTTTTCCTTAAAATTGGATTTGCGAAAATTTTAAATTCTGCGACTCTTTTTGCAATAATCCACAGTCTATTAGTGTAATATTTGTCAAATTGCGTCGTTATTAGCAAACTATCATATTTTTAAACGTTACTTAGCAACAATGACTAGTGCATTTCTAGTGCCAGGCATTACGCAGTTTAGTCGGGCTCTGAAAATTCAGCCCGACCAAGTAGTAAAATCTATAGTGGGATTATCTGCAATCTGATTGGTTGACAGCAACTGAGCAAACTCAAATGCGCTGTTTCGCAACATCTAGTCGGGCTCTGAAAATTCAGCCCGACCAAGTAATAAAATCTATAGTGAGAATATCTGTAATCTGATTGGTTGAGAGTAGCTGTGAACACACTCAAACGTTTAACAACATCTTGTGGGGCTCATTTTCAAAAGCGTGACTTGAAGTTTGAGCTTTCGAAATATACGTTTGGAAATCGTGATAACTTACATTACAATGGCTTCGGCTAATGAAATCGATATAATAAGTGAACTACAAAAGAAACCCTTTTCTGTTCGACAATCAGGCGAGCAAAATATACTCGTAAAGCAGCGGCCAATTCCAAATTTACAAGCGACTACAGGCAATAGAAGCTTTCAGGAAAGTTGGTACTCGAAGAAAGATTGGCTTTGTGGTAGCTCAGAAAAGAATGCATTGTTCTGTTGGCCTTGTCTTTTATTTTGCCCTGGATCGTCATCTTCATGGACGCAGACGGGATTCAAAAACATGAAGAATTTCCTATCCGATTGTAAGAAGCATGAGAAGGCAAAATCGCACATGGGTGCCTACAAGACCTGGAAGACCTACGGTTTTCAGCCTCGTATCGACTGTATCATGTCACAAACTAGACGTGAAGAGATTCATTGTCATAACGAGGAGGTAAGGCAAAACAGGGAAATGTTGAAAACCATAACAGAAGCTGTTTTATACTTGTCTAGGCAAGAGCTTGCATTTAGGGGGCATGATGAATCTAGTGGCAGCATGAATAGAGGAAATTATAGAGAGCTACTTGAAAGTTTTGCCAAGATGGATTCTGTTTTTGAAAGGCGATTACATGGAAGGCTTGCTGAAACCCACCTTGCTGGGGGGGCGGTTTACTGGAGTCTCTCCTGATATTCAGAATGATTTGATTGATTGTCTTGATAAGATAATAGAGGATGAGATTTTAAAGGAAATATATTGCTGCACTTTCTTAACTATACAGGTTGATGAGGCAACTGATGTTTCTACCAAAGAACAATTGAGTGTAATTGTTCGAATGGACAAAGGGGAAAGTGTCATTGAAAGACAGCTTGGGTTTGTTGATGTTAGTTGTGATAGGACTGCAACTGCTATATCATCAGTGGTTAAGGGTAAGTTAAGTCAATATAATAATGTGAAAGAGAAATTTATTGGACAGACTTATGATGGTGCATCTGTTATGTCTGGTCATCTCAATGGTGTTCAAGCTCAAGTTCAGCAGGATTATCCTTATGCTCAATTTGTTCACTGTGCTGCCCATAGACTAAATCTAGTATTATGTCAAGCTGCATCCTCCATCTCACCTGTTAAGATTTTCTTTGTTAATATTAGTGCTTTCTGCACCTTTACTAGCAATTCCCCCCAAAAGAAAAGCTTTACTATCATCCCATAGGCTTGAGTTTCCTAGTCCTGGTGACACAAGATGGTATTATAGGGCTCATGTCATCAATGTCTTGCATTCTAACTATGAGAAACTGATAGACATATTTGAAAATCTTACTGATAATCCAATAGGTTGGGATGATGAAACGTTAAGTAAGGTTACTGGTTTACTTGCCTACCTTAATGGCTTCTTGTTTTGTTTCTTGGTACATGTTTTGCAGAGAATTCTTGAGCAGTCATCCATACTTTATTCTATCTTGCAAGACAAGGACACTGACTATCATTATGGAATGAGTAGGTTTGAGAGATTCAAGGCCTTTGTTGCTTCTCTGAGAAATGATACAGAATATTGTCAGGTGTACGACCTGGCTGTTGAGAAAGTGGGACCATCAGTAACCAGGTATGACCAACGGCATAATTACAAACAAATGTATTTTGAAATTCTTGACACAGTTGTGACTATGCTGACTGAGCGATTTCAGAATATGGAGCGTTTTAGATTTTTGACCTTGTTAACCCTAGGGTGTTTAAGATGTGGAAAGGTGAAGTGCCCTCAGAAAAGATAAATCTTCTAAAGGAGGTTTATGGTGATATGTTTGACATACCAATGCTAGTTAGCCAACTTTGTTTTATTTACAGAGATAAAGACTTTCACTGTGATTCATGCGATGAATTATTGAAATATATTTTCAGTTCCATTATCAATCTAGTATTCCAGAAGTTGTAAAACTGTTAAAGATAAATGGGTTTTGTCAATTACAAGTGCTTCAGTTGAGAGGTCATTTTCTTGTTTGAAGAGGGTAAAAAATTATCTTAGAAATACTATGAGCCAAGGACGTTTTAGTTCTCTTTGCAGGATTTCCATTCACAAAGACATACTGTCAGAGAAAGAAGACGCCAACACATTGCATGATGAGGTAGTAAAGAAGTTCACTGAAAAACCACGAAGACTTGCTTTCTTATACAAATAGGTATTCATATATGGCTGATAGCAAGCTGATGATGTCTTACGTCCATGCCATGTGAGAATTTTTCCGGGAACTTTTTAATGCAGTCAATGATGATTGTCATTTCAGCACGACAATTTCATCACAACTTTTGATAGTTGTTGATGACAAATCTGAGCCTTTTTCGGTTCTTTTGTCAAAGTTTCTTTACAAGATGTACATAGGTATCTATTTATGTATGTGGTGTTGAAAAAATAAATCACATATCTGCAACTATTTTTGAACTGTTTCCTGCTTTACTATAAGATCCTTCGGCAATTTAAAATAACCAAAATGGTTCTATTTCCTGCATAAATATCACGCATTTGCTTTCTAAGATAGCCATTTCCGACGTTCTAGGGAGTCTAAATTCGGAAAATTTTCTCGCCCGACCAAATGTTTTTCGCTAGCTACGCCACTGGTTAATGAATCTTTCTTCATTCTTGAATGATTACTAGGCACAGAATTACCTTCACTACGTTGACCTTTTTCCCAGAATGAAACAAATCCTTTGCCCGTTGTTGTTTCTTGGATAAATAGACGTCCAACGAATCCATTCTACACCAACAAAAATGTTTATAAATCAAGAAAAGAATTCATTTACTCAAAATGTTTAATACCTTTTATTTTAACACAAAATGGTTTGGCACGTGACCGAGTGCGATCACGCACCTAAAAGTCCCCTCTTCAAGCAAAAATTCTAAAGTCGTTTAATTCATTTGTTTAAATATGCCAAAATTAGACATAATTGTAAAATACTGTACGGGAAAAGTTTTTTGTAAACTAGTCTTAAAGTCATTTGTCATTTAGTCTACGATATTTGATCTCAGATATTTGCATTTGGTGTACGATATTTGACCAATAACTAGGACAAGCAGACAATTTAAAATAGTACAAAATAAAACAAATTCCGAAGAGGGACATCTAGTTTTCTTGATATTCGAGATATTACAAGAGTTTGAAACAAAAGATGGTGTAATATTTCGTCTTTATTCCAAAGACATCATCAGACTAATGGTTTACAATGCAGGCTGCAAAACGTTTATATATTTACAAGCGGAAATGACAGTTATGTAATTGGAGAACTATAAGACTAAACAATCAGTCAGCACAGAATAGATACATATCTACAGGCAGTATACTTACATTAAAATAGAGATAGTTTCTTACAAGCTTTAAGACCACTATTAAGTTGTGGCATATTGCGTTCTATCAAAAGTGCTTCTAAGATGAGAAGTTGATTAGGATTATTATTTTTACAGCGATATAAGATTTTGGTGTTACTTGGAAGTACAAGGTTAAGTGGCACGCGTGTGAGATCGGGGTCGGAATCAACGTCAGGAAGTGAGAAAAGGTGTGAGATGTAGTTGGCGTCTGGACAAATGAGTAAATGTTAAGAGATAGCACTAGAATTAATTAGTGGCATGTTGGTTAGTCTTGTGTAGTTTCGTCAGTTTTGCCTATGACCACAGCCCGGACATTTAAATTCATATATAACATTGGCTTTAGAGAGTTCCGGAATTTGTCCTTTTGGGATAGAAAATTGATGTCTTTTTGTTTCATATATAACTATAGGTTTGATCGGAATTTTTAAGCTACGGCGAATTTTACGAAGAAGATTGAAAACCAAACGTTCACCCTGTTTGCCTAGATATGGTATTCTAATGAAAATTTTACGAAGGTCATTCTCAGTATTTTGTTTAGGGGGGTTATTTTTAGCTGATTTTGGTTTTGAGTTTATGAATCAAGAATTTGCGGACTGTAAGAGGGAAACCTCTTCGGAATTTGTTTTATTTTGTAATATTTGACCACATAAAGCACTGACAAAATAATCGGGGTAAAAAGAATCGTTCGAAATTCAACTTAAGAGTGAAAATATATTTGCCTCACCAAGGGAGTGAGTTGTACTTCTGTCTGGGACCGACTCTTGTAATGTTTGTATTTGATAGAGAAGCTTACAATTTTCGTTCTCTATCATTTTCTGAACAGAAATTTTGCATACATTTCAAAAAAAGGAAGGTATTTCACCCCCAGAGCTACCTCAAATATTTACCCCTGCCAAGTGCTAAAGCTACGTTCTTAAGCAATATTCGTGATGGTCACTAAATTAAATAGTAAAATTTATTAGTGGCAGGAGCTGATAATTACAACATGCTCCTATATGGCCAAATTCCTTAACCCACGTGATTTGACGTACATGAGGTATATTGTTGTGTTGTTGAAGACTGAGGTGCAAGCTCAGATAAAAACTGATAAAAAGTTGAATCAGCAGTCATCAAAGAAAATTCATTTTTAAATCAAAGCATAACTATAGCATGCATATTTCACCTATTTTAATTGTCCTCTTCAAATTTTGATCCTTACGCAAGAACATAATTGTTGAAGATCTTATACAATTGTGTATATCACTTAAACAAACACCTCCTATGTCGAAGGTGGTTTTTGTTAGTGAAAAATCGTACTTGGAATAATTAAATCAATTATTTTTGTAATATTTTTGATACGTAAAACGATTGCCTGTATATAGCATTGATATAAAGAAAGTTTAGAAATATTTGTTGGACTTCAATACTTTTTATTTTTGGTGACAAGATGATAAGGAGTAGTATAAAGGACGGATAAAAAATGATAAGGAGTAGTATAAAGGAGGATACAAAATGATAAGGAGTAGTATAAAGGAGGATACAAGATGATAAGGAGTAGTATAACAAGATAAGGAGTAGAAGGAAAAAATATAAGGAGTTAGAAGGATACAAGATGATAAGGAGTAGTATAACTGAAGAACAAAGATAAGGAGTAGTATAAAGGAGGAGGAGAAATAAGGATAATGAGGTATAGGAGGATACAAGATGATAAGGAGTAGTATAACGGGAAATGAGATAATGAGTATAATAAAGAGAAGTATCATCTAAATCTGAAGTAATCAATATTTGACCAAATGGTCACTGTTTTGACACGTGTAGAAAATCAACACATCATTACCACAGTACAGAACACACAGATGATCATCTCCATTGATTTGTCACTCAGCCAGTACTCAAAACAGAGTAAACTGCCATGTCCCCTCCCCCCTCTCTCCTTCACCTTGATACATTCAAAATGACTGACAGAAGATTGCCTCTGTCTCTAATACCTTTATACAAAAAATACTTTAACATATTTGAATGCCGACATAGCTGAAAGACAAACATTTGTAACTCAATGGGCGCCTTCTCTGTAAAAACGAACATGTTATCCAACTCTAGTTCGACAAAGGTAAACCAGACATCAAAATTAAATAAAAAACGCAATAAAGGGGAAAAAGTTTCTTCTGACATCTTTAGTCGAACAAAAACCATTTTCTCATAATTCAACATTTTCACAAAATGCAAAATGACGCAAAATTTTCCCTCTCCCTCGCTAAATACAGAACAAAAAAAGGAAAATGATGAACTCGGTGGGTATAGGGTAAAATTGTGCTGATTACACGAACCAATGACAGCTAGTAAGATAAAAACAGAAAGGTATGAGTAAAATACGGAAAAAAAGGCAATAAAGTTTGAAAAAGTGAAGAGTTCAAAATCATTTTGGCGAGCTAAAGATTAATGGCAACATGCAATGCATGACACTTTCGTGTGCAAAATGTGCTCATGACTGACTAGTAATCCAAAACTGAAAAATATTCTGCAAAATCGAAAAATTCTAAAAACATTACTTCAATATAATCGTAGAAATTAGCCAGATGCATCCATTCCTTTTAAAATATTGCTCAACTTCCATGACTTCAAAATAAGCTTGCATCACTTTCACAACAACAACTTTTGTCGAGCTTGCAAAGTTATCTGAATTGTCGCGCACGAACTTCGTCATTTCGCGTAGTTTGAAAGGAACAGCAATTAAACGATCCCGTTCGAACTTATCCTTGCAGGCACCAGTTGAAAACCTTGAGTTAATAGAGGAGAATGTTAGACGTCGGTCAGCGGCAATCCGTTCATCTGAAAGATCAACAAAACCACACATCCCCCACTCATGGTTGTCATATTTCAGATAAACAGTAGTCAAACATATAGCGTCCAAATCGCTTCCCTGTAAATTAATTCCCAGTTCCTCGTTCAAACCTCTTGCTGAGGTTTTCACGAGGTCCACGTAAGTCTTTCCATCATCTTTTTTCACGTAATCGTTCGTTGAACAACTTTCAACTGCACCACATGTAAGGATCCCTGGTCCGCCAATTCCAACTACAACACCGAATAAAATTAATTTCAGCAAAAGCTCATTTTTACATTACCTGGAAGACATTCACATTCAGTTCTATAATACCACACAAATGCAGTGATATGCAAGAATCTTAAGGAAAAGAGAATCTTAATGATGCAATCAATGATAAACCAACCTCTTTTAGCTCGAGACGTGAAGATAAACATTCCGTCAGCCGTAATTACAGCAATATGAAGACCAAATGAAGTGCTAAAATGACGATGAACTGACGTTTTACACGGCAAATGTTCATTTTGAGTTTTCTCATCAAAACTCTTCCACACATCTCTCATGGCACGATGATGCACATATCTCGTTTCTCTCATCTTTAGAACAACACGTTGTTCTTCATCTTCTCCTTCCCGGGGGGTGGAGAGATCACTTAAAGCAATGAGAACGTTATCTACTATCTTGTTATCTTGCGCTGCCTAAAACATAGATATGAATACAGATATAATCGCGAGGTGATCAAAAATACAAGAACGTGTTCTTCATGAATCAAAAACACTAACATTCCTCCAATAAAAACGTCTTTTCCGATAATCTTCACTATATAAAAAATCAAATATTTCATCGTCTCTTTCATCATCAGCCTCTAATTCGCACAACAAACAGTCACGTGGGTAGCCTTGAAAATAACCAGTACCTGAGCTTCTCATTGACTGAAATATAAATGGAATTCATTGAACATAAAAGATGGCAAGAATTGACTGTTCTTGTGAAAATAACTGAAGCTAGAATATATTATTCTTGAACACTTCCTTTGGTTAGGATTTGGTATTATAAAAAGTGTTTGATCATGTTTTCATAAATGTTTTTTTACGTTTTACCTCATTAACTAGGCTGTCAGCGATGACGATTTTCGTATTTTTTAAAAAACCACAAGTAAAAAACTCTGATGTTTGCATCGTAACAGTATAAGGATTTATCTGGTGAGCTGAAAAATATACACAAATCATTAAAATCTTGGTGTCATTCTAATTCGTTATTTGAGTCTGTGCACCTGGGCTGCCAAAATACATTTATGGTATTGAATTGAGTTTAAATCATCCTGTCTACAACGGTAGGAGATAAGAGATATAAGCACGACAACATTTCTTACATCATTTACCTTCAAAAGTGTTTTCAATCACTTCATTAGCAGTAGGTCGATCATTTGGTTCCAATATTAAGCAATCGTCATATAGTTTCCTCAAAGGACCAACCTCCTCAATGTTCTCAGGATATTCAGGCAAGTCAAAATTTGACCTTTCTAACTGGACAGCAGGCGAAAATTCATATGCCCATGGTTTATCACCGGATATCATAAAATGCAAGACAAGACCAAAGGAGAAAATGTCACTTTTCATGAATGATTCAACATTGCTGCAATTATTGCTTTCTAAAATGTAAATTTCATTAAAGCACAATCATTGGTCAAAGACTTTTTTCATGCTAAAATTGAAAAATTGTGTTACCAAAAATTTCTGGTGCACACCATCTATTATTAAGCTTTGCATTGATATCATAGGACTTCTTATGATGAAGAGCAAGACCAAAATCTGCCAATTTCAAACGCATTCGCTTCACACCTTTCTCAAGCTGCAATGTTTTAAGAAGTTTGCTGAAATGATGTGGAGGTCTTGATACTCATAATACATCACCGTACCATGCATTCCTCAGTGCCAAGTAATAGAAGTTTTTTAACATTATTTGATTTTTGCAAAGCAAATTTCTAATTTGACCTATACCACAGACAGTCTACTGCAGTCCAATCTAATGTGCGTTTGTCATAAATTTAATGATTGTTGGACTTACAATACACACTTTGGATTTATGTGAAGATACTGACAGATTATAGCCTATTTTGAAAATGAAAACTACATTATTTGTGTATATCCTAAAGGGCACAATTTGTACAAGTCATTGATACAGTTCAACTTACCAAGATGTTATCAGGCTTCAAATCTCTGTGTGCGATTGAGAAACTGTGCAAGTAATATAGGCCACTCATAATCTGCTCAGCAAAATCCCAAACTTGACTAGAAAGCAAACCTTTTACTTCTGGCGACTTCAGACCATCAACATGTGAGCATAGGTTGTCAGGAATATATTCCATAACTATCATGCAGCTACCTTCCTTTAGATGATATTTTGCAATGTCATTTCTTAAAGTAACCATTCCACGATATGCAACAATATTGTCATGTCTCAACAACCTGACATTTCAAATAAATAAGAAATTACAAGTCTTTCTCCATACAAACAGCAAAAAATGCTAATACTTTTTGAATATTGAATGTGCATGCAAGTATCTTAAATAGAGCTAATGAAACAAGATCATAACCTTAAAATTTTTACTTCATTTGTTGCAGATGAATCTTTCAATTGGTGAAATACTTTGACAGCAACTGTTGATCCTTTTATCTTTGCTTTGAAAACATCCCCAAATGCGCCATGACCAATACGAAGTAATGATTTTGTGATATCATCATGATCAATGTTTTCCAGTTCTATAAACAGGAAAAGCTTTCTCTCAAGTAAATGCCATGTCCACTTTGAACATGGCAAGTTGACTTGAAAGTAAGATGATGTGCATACAAAGTTTAGGAGGTCATAAGGGAAATCCTGCAGGGACAATCAATGCCTAATTTTTATAAAGATTACAGAACTGTTGGCTCATAAAAAGCAATTTCTTCACTCAGCAGCAAAAAATGGAGGTAGAACAACTACCACCGTCCACCTATAGTCCATATTTAACTATAGTGACAGGATAAACTGACCATGCTGATTTATCCTTAAACTTTAATTTAATCCATCTTCTCTACATTACATACTAAACATAAAAACAAATACCTTGATTGCTTTTTTGCTCCAACATCAATTTGACACATTCCTTGATTGTTTTCTGGCTTTCAATGATTTCTTGCAAAACGTTTTGATCTTCTTCAGTGATAACGCTTCGCAAGCGCTTTAAGATACTATGCAATTTATCAACACAGTTATTTATTATTCCCTCAACATTTTCACTATCAAAATTACCTTTCAATAAGGTGTCAGGCATTTCTTACAAGACAAAAAAGAGTGAGCAATTCAAGAATTATACAAAGTTTTGTGCCGAATGTATGTCTTGTACGTCATCAAGTTTTTTGAAACAACCACCTGCGAACAGGTATGGCGGAAATTTCATAGTACCGTGAAGTATTGTTATGATTGTTATAGTAAGATTTGTTCGTTGGAAGATTACTTAGCAATCGCTTCATAAACAATAGAAATGGTGCACGTATTGCACAAACATAGGAAGAGAATTCATGTAATTTAACTACAACCAAACAACCTCTGACAAAAAAGCAACCACTGCCACCATCTTTTCGTCACGTGATTTGATTGCGTGACGTTTTAACACCCTCCGTACGATTATTATGATTAATGTTATATTTATGCAATAAAACTAATAATCCTTTTGATATGAACAAAAATGATTTCATTTTCATCGAATTGCAATGTATCATAAGGATGTGATAAAAAGTACACGCGTTGTAACAAGATGTGTGTTAAGTTACGATGTTGTAAAACTGTTGGGTGTACCTGAAATGTGTGCTTAGGTGTTATAAATTGTAAAATGGTGAAATCGGCTCAACATAATGAAAAAAAGAAATCAACAAGTAAAAAAATTTGAAATTGGAAAAATTTACGAAAGGAAAGCAAACGAAATCTATTCTCAAAGTTTGAATTGAGAAAAAATTGATTTGTGAAATCATAAAGAAAGATTAAAGCCGCAATGTAATCAACAAAATATGAATTTAAAGTTAATTGTATTATATACAAAGAAAAAATGCCTAGGACACACATTCTGGCTCTTCCTCTTAGTTGTTCAAACCTCTTCTTCTGCTCAGAGCTGACTGTCGAGCTTGACTTTGCGCGTTTCGTTGTCTTGAAAGACGTACACTTCGGCTGGAATGAACAGAAATCAACGTCATGTAATATTTCGTTTGTTACGTAGCAAGTAATGAACTGTTACGGAGAAAGAATTTGCAGTTTCGTTTCTCTTAAATTCTGAATGGTTTGAACCAGAGAGTATTGTTACATATACGTACACGTATAAATGTAGATTCACCAAATTAGGGCAGTTTTGAGAAGGGCTGTTGATGTTGGTGTTAAGGATGTAGTAACACTATCACCAACAGTCCATATTAGGATTGCACAAACCTAGACTACCTACATCTAAAACCATGCAACTACAAACAATCAATGAAAAATGGTGCGTTTTATCGTGTGCAGATACATGCAAACCAAAACTAAAATGTATTAACATTTATTTTTGACAATCTACCCGCATGACTTTATTTACCAATGTAAAGATTTTAATAGATTTATACCTTGTCGAGATTTTAACCGCTTTCATATCTTGTTTGTGATTAACTGGTTTCCTACTCTTGACCTCGGGAATTTGTTTTCCATGAGACAGGGCTGGTAGTTTACCTGTGTATGGTGTGTAGTTAAGGGGTTTTGAAAGGCTTGCTTGTAAGTCAAATTTCTTACGAGGAGTTGGTGAAGCAAATGGTAACGCATTCGAAGTGAATCTAAAGAAAAAATTTATAACACTTCAAAACACTTCATTGCAACTGTAATTGGTAGCCGAATTCATAAGACCTGAAAGGGGTAGCTGGTTTGTCGCAAATTTGATTTAATTTGTTGCATCCCTTTCTTGTAGACGGAGTTCTCACAGTCTTCTCATTCGATGTTGACGAAATGTTGAACGCTAGCCTCTTTTCCACAACCCCACTTCGCTCGGTTTTGCTGGGACGTCGACGTCCACTAATGGCTTGGCAGAGAATTATGAAACAAGGAATTCTGTTAATGAATCTTTCTTCATTCTTGAATAATTACTAGGCACAGAATTACCTTCACTACGTTGACCTTTTTCCCAGAATGAAACAAATCCTTTGCCCGTTGTTGTTTCTTGGATAAATAGACGTCCAACGAATCCATTCTGCATAAACAAAATATTTATAAATCAAAAAAGAATTCATTTACTCAAAGTGTTCAATACCTTTTATTTTAACACAAAATGGTTTGGTACACATATCTAAGCCTTCATAATCAATTCATGGGCATTGTTATAATTGCTGAGAAAAATCTCGAACAAAAAACCTCTGACATCATATAACATGCCATCAATTATATTTCAACTGTGCTTACACAATTTTATATACGTACTTTTCAAATTGCTGTTGATGAATCTTCGCCCAATCTCTTGGTGTTGTAAGCCCTATAAATAAAATACCGCTAGTTGAAAAAACCCAGATAATGGTCTGAGAATTGTTTTATTACGTTTGTTCTTCCTCTTTTCAACTGAGGCCAGTGGTGTTTTTGTTGGTGCTTTGACTTGTTCTGCATTTCTCGCACTCTGTTTGGTACGTCTTGGTATTTTGCTTCTAGCAGTCATAACTGTAAGTAAAATATCATGTTTGTAAATGAACATTATCAAGAAATACATTGTAAGACTGATGGAGAAGCCAAAAGGCATCAAATGAAATATTGAACACTTTTATTAATTCTTCTAGCATTTGAAGGGTTGATTTTACTTTTCTGTTTTTTCACTTCATCTTGTTGAAAATTTGAAGGTATGTCTGTGCTTTTGGTTGCAACATCCACACAGCTAGAGACAAGATGAGGATACAAATACTTTAATACTTAGACATGTTTGGAGGCATGACCTGTAAAGTATTTTAATATACATACTTACCCCTCAATGCACATGAAATTTTCCTTTTTACTGTTTTCTTTCTCCTCATTACAATACTTCACAATTTCTTCAAGTAGTTTACCAGTCTGTAAAGTTACATGAAATGGCCAGAAAGGTATGAAAATATATTTGGGTACAGGTTTTGTTATTCTACTACATGGTGGTAAGGCCAAAACTTGCCTCCCATTTACATGATATTTAAACCATGTCAAACCAGGTAAACTTTCACTAAATGTTTTGAATTATACAGTGGCAAAACCAGGCAAGATATGTAATCATACAATGCCAAATATTCAGCAACATTTCATTGGTTTCTTCAGAGTATTCATTTCAGTAAATTAACACAAAAATATTTGCATTGTGGCAGTAAAAGACATACCAGCTTTCCTACTTAAGTTAAATGTGTCAGACATTATATTGAAACATTTTTTTACTGTATAAACATAGTTTTTGTTGAAAGAGGTTTGCACTACACATAAATTACCATCTGGTTTTCATTATGAGAGTCAGAGTTGATATACATTGCCAAATAATATATAATACGTAGGTATAATGAAACTTCAAACCTCAACTAGTTGTATGTCATGTGCAAGATGTTTTATAATGCATATTATGATAGAAATAAACACTATGGTTCAATATTATTTGAGTTTCATGTAAACATGGCTTAGAGGGTGTTTACTGCTCACACTACGTAGAAATTTAAGCCAGGACTATAAATCTTTTAAAAATTGAAATTATAGAAACAACGTTGTTACAAATTTCAATATTTAAGATTATTGCAATTTAATTTAAAAAGCCATAATTTTGATGAAAAAAATTGGAACAATCACTCATGGCATCACTGTCAACTATTCCTTCTACAACGTGTATTTTGCTTTGGGATAAGAACTATCATTTTTGTACAGAATAATAATAACACAGGATTTAATACAGTAAATAAAATATTTCACAACGGTTCTACCTTCATGTTAGCTTTGATGCCAATGTTCTTGCATAGTTTTTGCAAATCTGCTCTTTTCATTCCCTTTAAGTCTTCTTCTGTATACTTCATATTGCTTTATTCAATTTCTGAGTAAAGTATTGTTGGCAAAATTTGAAAAGTTAAACTTGTAAATACAATGGCCTGATTTCTCGATATTCGTTAACGTTTGTATTGACGTTCACTAAACAAAAATTTTCAAATACATGAAACATAATGCTGCATTTTAATTGGTCATGATGATCTGAGCCCATGGTTAACACTTACATCATTGCGATACTTCATATTAGCTCCTCTAACGTAACTGGGCGTCTGCAAGTCGTGTTAATATTACAACCGTAAAACAAAATGAGATATATAAAATTTTTTGCAACAATAAAATTACAATTTCAGTTAGTTTATCGACTCACAGTCACCTACTACAACATCGAATTAGCCAATGCTTGAAACTCAAGAGAATAATGTTCCTCTTAGAAGCACATCTCCTTGCTGTATCCGTAGAGTTCAACGTAATTCTCTGACTGTAAATATTCCTTGGCTATATAATATAATATTAAATATCTTGTTAACTTTTTAAAGAATATTCAGTTATACATCACTATAAACATTTATACAATTTATATATTCATACGCCACTTAGTACATCAAGGTTTTAAGAATATTGATGCGAAACTCTACCACACATGAAAATGGTTGAAAGCAGAATATTTTCATAATTGCTGCCATAAAATGCGACATGTAGACTATGAACATCCATGCCGCCAATTAACTTTGCCACAAGAAAAATTGACCTATCAATAAGTATTACAATCAATCAGGTCCAAATGCCTGATCAAATCGCTCCAAACTACGTTCTATTGTAGCTCTTCGTCCAGAGTTATTGGGTTTTATTGCCGTGACACTGGGTGGTAAAGGACCTAGATTATCCATACTTTTACTACGCTGCCTTCGAAAGAAACCACCAATACTAGAGAATGCATTGAACACAGACATAGCTGGTGGCGCAGCGACTTCATTTGGTGGACTTGGATTTCCTCCACCGCTCATTAAAGCAAATCCTCCCAAGTCGCCCATCATTTCCAGCTGGGCTGCGGAAGGCGATGAATCTCCAAGGTGAAAAGATGCTTTTTTATCTTGCCTGCCAACCCCTGACGACGTTAACAAGTCCATACTGGACGTTTTCCCTAAATTTTGCGCAATGTCCGAGTTCTTTAGAAAGTCGCTAAGCTTACCATTTCCACCGGAACTTCGTGAAAAATCAAGACCTTCTGAAGAGGCTGACAAATTCTCGCTACTGGAACTCCTAACCAATCCCCCAACTATATTACTAAGCCCAAGAGCACCTGACTGCCGACGAAAAGGCACTGAACCTGGACTTTCGTTACTCGTTGAAGAAGAATTCTGTTGATTGAACGGTGCAATCATGCTCAACAAATTCTCGCTACTTTCACTTCTTAAATGAAGAGGTCGAGGAAAACTAACGCTCGACATAGAAGTTGATGTTGTTGTCGTTGTTACGGTAACAAAAGATGATTTTGCCGTAGTGGTGATGGGGGCCGACGTAGAGTATTCTGAACTTATTGCGATTGTGCTGCGAATCAGTGAGTTAAGCATCGAATTTGTTTCTATAGATGGTGGCAACATACTCTGTGATGAAATTTTTGACTTTACGATTTCAGCAAGATTTGACGTTCCACTGTTACTGGATGTTTCAATATTTTGATTGAGGTTGGGGACATTCACCGTTGTATCTGTGTCTGGAGTTATGTTCGGCACACTTGCTTTCTGATCTGTTGTAGAATCAACGGTAAGATTTGTCGTCTCATCTTGTGAGCTAACATGCAATTCATTCTCATGTTTTGCGTTCTCGTTAGTCACGTGTTTCTTATCATTTAAATTCGTTTCCAGCTCACTCGAGCTGCTGGCTGGATTTGTTTCGTTCTTTGCCTTCGGGTTTTTCGTAGCCACTTCACCTTTAACGTGTACACCAGGTACAACACTATTGAGACCACTCATTGTAGGATTGGCTAAAGACTGCCATTTATGCAAAGTGGCAGACCCTGAAAAAGAAGTTAAACATGACTTCCATGGCTAAGATGTTTAATTTGATATAATAAATGCTATGACACTCATATTAACTAAAACGATTTTTCTCTTATACCTTATATATGAATGCTGTATCACCTTAACATTGCACGTTTTAAATAACTCAAGTTTATAAAAATTCAATAGCTCTTACCTTCTAATGGTTTAACAATCTGTAGCTTCTCGGGTCCCCACGGTCTTCTCCTTCTTTCTTGAGGATTTACTATAAAAGATTGATCAACGCAAAGTTCGTCATTCAACGAAAACAGAACGCTGAATGCCCGTAACAGTATCATGGATAGTCAATGACAATAATTTTGAATTCAATTAAAATTACAGAATAAATCCAATACTCAAGTAAGAAGTAATAAGTAATAAAAATAAGACGAATATGATAACTATGCTACAGACTATTGTTGACTTTTTAACTCATTGAAATGACGCACAACAAACTACCATTGATGGTACATTCACTAAATGACAGATACAACGTAGTTACCTGGCTAAGTTTACTACTGCAAAAATAACAATAATCTACCTTTAGGATTAGTATCTTTCACACTTAATCTTCTCACAGCATTACGAAGATCATCCATACTCGGTGGAGACTTTCCCTCCTCATCGCGAGGTTTCGTTGCAAAACTGAAGTCGAATGGTGTCGTCTCCGGCGCCTTAGCTAGTTGCGATGATTTGTCACTAGTTGTTTTGGTTGGTCTGCTCCCTCCTTTGATTACCTTGGGAAACCGTGTTGAATTCGCCATTCGTACCGTCTGCATTACACGTTCGGTTTTCTTACTAAATGAAAAACTATCATAAAGAGTGTAAATTAATTGGCATTCAAAAACGCATCATGTGTACTTTTTCTCATGAAAAGTCTCCATGTCTCTCCTCACAGATTCTTCAATTTCTTGAGCAAGCGAACCCCGAGAATCTAGTGACGAGATTCCAGCAACTTCCATTTCAATATTTTTTTGGGGTGATCTAAATAAACATTTATCAAACTTTATTTCACAATCTTATAAAATCGAGAATGATCCTTGAAAAAATTTTGCTGTATGGTATGTTCATCATGTTACCACTTCAGTAGTTGTAAGATGATTTTCTATATTACAAAGTGAAAATTCCTACCCTAATCTGTCTTTCATAACTTTCATTTCACGCTGAAAGAAAAAAAAACCCGAAGCATATTAAAGACACAGCTAAAAATGGGCATTAATATGTGCCAGCAATTCTAGATACCGTCCTGTAGTTATTATGACTTACTTTGTTTTCTTTCAACATTTCCAAACATTCCTGATATTTCTCGTGTAAAGTTGTCACTTCATCTTTAAGATCACTTTGATTTTCTTGCGAGCTTTTCAATGTCTCGTGTAAACCTTCATTTTCCTGCGTCAGCTTAAATACGCAGAAGTAAATTCAAAACCACAAAAAGTAATACATTTAAAGGCATTTTCGACTAAACTGTTGAAATATATGTGTAAAACAACAAGTTTAAAATGAATTACCATATTATGACGATTCTGAAGTTCCAAAACTATTTCGATCAACTTTGAAATTTCCTCCTGCAACATAAAGATAACGTAGCAAATGTTATGATACAAATAACTCAAGGGTAAATTCAATGAGCAACTAAATTCTCTGAAAGCACCTGCTGAGCAACGTTATCTTGCGCTTTTAAGGAAATCTCGTCGGTCAGATGACTGATTTGATCTTTGGCTTCAGCTTGAAGATGAACGAAAGTCAAATTATAAAATAAAAAGATATTTGAGCATAATGGTTATTGAGGTATCGAATATGTTCTGTCATACACATACAAGAACGTATGTTGTCAACAGTTTTAAAAATTTCAATAGACATTTTCGAGTGCTGTAAGCAGAAAAGATTATTTTTTTCGATCAACATAAAAACAATTGTTCTACCTAATTCCTTGATACATTCGTAAACCAATTCTTTTTCTTTTGCCTCTTCCTGGTCTGTTTCCTGGCGAATTTTCAAAGCCTACGTGTGGTTAAAAGACATACATGACGCTTGCCAAGAAAAAGAAAAAAATACCGAGAAAATCAAAAAAAGAGTCAACGAAATGCTTTATGATGTACGTATATTAGGCACGATTATCGTTCAAACAGTACCTCGAGTATCAAGCCAGCGTTGTTTTCTTCCAACTTATTACATTTATCTTGCAAACTCTGCATTGATTCGTCTCGGCAAGAACTGTAAGAAATAAAAATTTAAAATAAGTCTTTATCTGTCCTTCTAAATGTATTTCGATCGCAAAATCGTTGTTGTGTACTCCAGTATCAGCATAGTCCAGTGTCTCATTTTGACTGTTCTGACGTCAAAACTAGGCTCATTTTTTTGGTCTCCTGAGCTAATGATCTAACATGTCGAAATGTAAATCATTGTTTCAGAATACCCTGAAACATCTCAATGTGTCGGCTACCTTGTGTCGGCTGTGGAATAGTTATTTTCATCGTCGAGATCTTCATCGGTAATTGTCTTCAATAATTTATCCTTCATTGTTACCAAATGTTTAAGCTGAGTTTCCTAACCAAATTAAAACAAATCAAGAAAATTTATCCATTGACTCTTAATACATAAATTTACATCTATGTATCATTAAGATATGCTAACAACTAAGATATGCTACATTACACAATAAGCAAAAATATAGCACTCTGTCTATACTTATAAGGAAGCTTGGCAGCAATATCCAGACATTATGCTGTATGCATACCCTTTCTTCGACTTCATTTACGTAGTTTTCAAGGGCTTCTGTTTTCTTGTACAAATTCTTGTTTCTCTCCAATAAAGACTGGAAATAAACAAGTAAAATTTATGAAGGACAATGTAGACATTGATATAATGGATAAACTAAATAACTACAAAATAAAGAGTAAATTTAAGAAACTAACCTGGCCAATGTGGGCTGCTAATTCTAGATCTTTTTCTTTCTAATATCAAACATAGATATAAAATGCACAGCTTAAAACAACAGTTTGTACAAATATTGGGAACATTACTCCATGAAATGATTTTTCATAATTTGCAACAACAATTAACCCATCGACTATCTTTCTCAAGAAACAAAAAATGGCGCAAAGTGGCAATCAAATTTACTATAGATACCTCTTGTAATAGTTGCAGTACTGCCTCGAGATCTTGAGTGGTCTTCGTCATTTGATTGGCACGAGACAACGACAAAGCTTAGGAGGAAAAATTACAGAATGAAGAATTTTTAGGAAAAGTGAAACCAAAGAAAAAGAGATGAGAATGAAATGCTGAATATCCAATTATTTAACTGAGAGATCTTTATGAACGATACTGCGTTAGATTTCGGAACAAATTGTCGTTGATTTACAAGTACTGGTTCAAATAATGTATTTCAGTGGTTAGTTCATTATAAACTACATTTCTCCAGGCTTTAAGTCTAAAGCAAAGTATCGCGCAATGAAAAAAATGAATGCTACAGTGAGTCTACATATAAAAATTATTTTACGAGAACAACATCCATAATTCATAATAACATCTGCTAATCTATGTAAAAAAAAACATTTCGCTTAGATGAGTTAATTTGTTACCATGGTTTGTAAAAAAAAGCAAAAATTTTTAACACAAGCAAGGAATCATGAATGTACGCAAAGTCTTTTTTCGACAATTCCTTAAAGGTAAATTTATGCCCAAAGGTGAGCGGAATTGTTTTTTTTTAAGAGGAATGAGGAACAAAAATCGACAAACGACGGAATAATATGTGTGAAGAACGGTACAAACTATCGCTAACTTTAGTATTAATAGATACACCCATATATATATATATGTATACGTTATTGACAGAATTGATACTTTAAAACGTTCTAATAGCAAGAGTAAAATGTAAACAAGCTAGAAAAATAGTAAAGATGAGTTATTCTGATTATGATAACAAATTGTTATACAAACTGCGAAATATCCAGCCGACGACAATACAACGTTCTCAAACGTTAATAGCTCAACATTTCTATTCTTCAAATGAATACATTTTCGTCGTTGAAGAGTTAAGTCAGCATTGTTTTATTCAAACCAGTTAAAATAAAAATTCTAGGCCATTTTAAAAAGTCTAAAAGCTTGAGACAAAGTGCAATTATCATATATATGCATAGCACGCATTCAATCCATTACTGCATTGTGTATTGATTTTCTTGAATTAATCTAAGAAGGTGACATCACAATGACTAAAAAACCTAATGCATTAATAGTGTACTTCTCTTTTAGCAGTTTGATTGCATAATGACATAGCAATTTTACATACAAAATTTTATGCTTTTCCAAATAATCTTATCTCTAGTCAAAATCTACGACAAAACACTATAAAATTCACTATAAAGACAAACTCTTAATATAAATATCAAAGCCCAGCAAAGTGCTTTTAGAAGAGCCATTTAATACACAAATAACATATAAAAAGCACTTTGCTGGGCTTTGATATTTATATTAAGAATTCGCTTCCCGCCTGCTTTATATTAAGAATTCCTTCCCGGTTGGTCATAAAGACAAACCATCTTCAATTATTTGAAGTTACATGAAAATGAAGTTATTTTAGCAACAAAGGTCCTTTAATGGAAACACTAACATCTTCCTATCACTAAACCTACTGTATGCCAAGGAAAAATGTAACTTGAGTTTGAGGATAAAATTATGAAATGATCTTTTACATGGTCAAAACATGCAACTAAATGTTTCAAACATTCCACTTCATTTACCTCAAATATTTTAAATCTTCAATTGAATAAAAAGAGCATAAATTACACAAAAGAAATTCTTTGTGAAAGCATTCTTTAGAAAATGCAAAGTATAAAAATTTCTTTCAACATGCCTCAATAAACATATAGCTACCCAAATGAATCAAGCTCTGATCTTTTTATTCCAATGCTTATATTCTAATGTTCAAGATAGGGGTCAGGATCAGTCTCTAAAATTGGCTACAATATGATTTCATTATCAATCATTGCTATTATTAATTAAAATGAAAGTAATAAAGTAAATGGTTTGAACCCGGGAGTATCGTTATATGTTTGTAAATGATGATCGTCCAGGTTAATAAAGAAGGACTTTTTGTTGTTGACAACCTTAGCGGTAGTCATCTTCAGAGTCAAAAAAAAAAAAGATGACTACCGCTAAGGTTGTCGAAACGTCAGTCAACAACAACAAAAACAGTCCTTCTCAGGACTTTATTAACCTGGACGATCATCATTTACAAACATAAAATGAAAGTATTGTGATGATACAGAAAGATTAAATTGTTAACCATGTAAGTGTTGTATAAAGTACATTTGTCAGCAAGAATCAATATACACAATTCGCTGAACTAACATGTCTCATACATTCAATAAAGTTTTATAAAGTTATATTAAACAAACGTGAAGCCTTGTATAAATACGAACATTTGTTTTCACACCTGTCTACATCAGCATTCCATCAAATCGACATATAATTATGATCAATGATTATGATAAATCTCAGTGATATTTTTCTTACCGGCGTTTCATCATTGAAATTTAAGGAAACTTCGCCCACCGTTTGTTTTGAACGACGTAACAATCAAAACCTCATCAAATTTATAATTCAAAAATAAGTGTATGAGAGAATATATTTTACTTACTGAAGTATTTAAGGGTCTCTAATGCTTGTTCTTCAGTTAAGTCGAAGTCATATTCTGAAGGTGGTGTATTGATACACGACTGACTCCAATCGCCATCGACACTTTCTACTCCGCTTTCATAGTTTTCAAAAATAGATACATCACAATCTTCTGATTCAAAGACAGATCCATCTGGAGAGAAATCCAACGAGTGGCCAACGGAGTAAGACTTTTTTGTTCCTTCAGAATATTCCAGCAAGGTGTTAATCTTTGATTCATCGTTTATGTCCTCCGTGTTAGTCATGTTATTCTCAACACACTGTTCTTCAAAGCTCATTTTATCAAACTCCAAGTATTTACATTACACGTTTTACTACACCATTTTTCGTCAATTTGACTGAAAAAAAACAGAATTTGTTTAGATGCTGTTCTTAACAAAATCTATAATAAAGATGTCATCTTTACTCCAATGAAAATATATTATAATTTCATGATTGCAAAATGTAAGAAACCCTGTTCGCAGGCTGTTATTACACAGAATGATTTCTCAATTTTACGACCAGTAAAGAACGCATGGGAGGGGAGGCATGGAAGCAGCAAATTATTCTACTCTACTTGAAGTTTTTTTTAATATTCCCCTACTTTTCATGTTTGCTCAAAGCTTAGCTGGCCTATGACCTAATAAAAAATTTCCTAGATCGGAAAAAGAAGAAACTACAAAAATTACACTTTTAAATAAATGATAACCGAATTTCTGTTCAAAGAACATCAACAAACGCCACTTTTATTTGACCCCCCCGTCCAGTGTACAATTTGTTGTTGCTAGGCGACGTTGTTTACAGCATGGACGACAGAACTTAAAACGCAACTAGGTATCAATTTTTTTAGAAATGCCAAAGAAAACAAAGAAAGGAAAGGCTGGAAAGGGCAAGAAAGAAAGGTATGTTGTAGTTGTGTTGTCCATATATTTTTCTGCCCAGATACACAATCAAAGAAAAGTGAAAATGCCATCAATCTGCACATTTGTCGTTGAAGTTCGAGAGAAGTTTTTGTTTTAATATTCAGTCACAATGTTTGAAATGACTTTAACGCGCAAGATTTTTCTTATCAATTGTCAACTTTAGTAAATCCAAAAATTCCGAATCGAAAAAAGATGCTATACTCAAAGATGCTACGGCTAACGCTTTGTTTTGGGAAAGTCGGTTGGAGTCGACCGAGAGGGTAAAAAAAGAGTACCGAGACAATGCTAGAAAGCTATGCCTAGAAAATGAGAGCTTGCAAAACAAACTCAAACATGCAGAGAAAGATACATTGCAAGTAATCACATTTCTTAAAGCCGAGGATGTGAAGAAGGAAGATCAGGTAAGATTAGATCTAACAACCATTGAAAACAACCGAAAGAAGATTTATGTATTACGAGTTGGAACATTGAATATTATTCATTGTAAACTAAAGTCAACTGGTGCATTCATTACCAGACAAACACTGATTACTTCCATTCACCAATATTTTTTCATTGAGAGGATCTTTTAACTTCTTTTTGAAAATAAAAGGCTTAGGATTATAACAAAAGGATCATCTAACAATGCGCATGCTTATACTTCCAGATTTCCAAATCAGAACAACAGTTGAAAGATTACAAAAAGAACTCAAGTCTAGAAAAAGACCAACTGGTCGGTCGTTTCAGAATATATTTTAACTTCCTATATTCCTCTGAATGTCTTCTACCCTTATTTACAATGACCGACCATGACATATTGATTTAATTGCTGACATGAAATTGTATTGGAAAATTTTTAGATTGAAAAATACACGAAGCAAATCCATGACTTGAAGGAAGCTTTAGATGAAAAAACTAATGAGGTTTGCACCATGTTTGTGACAGTTGTTTGTATCATCGTATTATATCATTCATATTGAATCCAAGAACCTTTGTTCCCCCATTTCCATCACTTTATACCATTGCTCCAAAAATAGGGGAGTGCGTGTGGCGGAGATCCCTTTTCTACTTTTATAAAATTGAGTATTAAATGAACGTTAATTAGAATGTGGTTGTTAATAAATAGTTGCCAGTCATGCCAAGATGCCACACATTTTTTTCGATTACATGGATTCCTATAAAACTTTGTTATATCCTTGCCTTTGCCTATTGCAAGTTTCACTGTTGTACTACGTACCAGTTAGATGGTATTTGCATTGTTTTGTTCAACAGGTTCGACTAATGCAATCAGAACTTCGTCTGGTGAAAGAATTTCGTAAGAAAAGAGCGCTGATGCAACGAGAACTAGAGGAGGTACGTGATGCGTGATATAAACTTAAAGCAAACCATCACCGATTAAAGTGATTTCGTTTACAGATCAAAGATAGTATGTTTGCAACGGAGAAAAAACACAAAACGATCTTAAGTAAAATGGAGCAGAAATTTTTTGAAGAGAAGGTAAGTTTCAAATTTATGGAAAATTTTATTTTTGTTTTTTTAAACGTTAACCTGCAAGTCAGTGACTCAAAATCTCGTCTTCACTAAATTGTTTCGGCGTTAATCATCATCCAATGATCGTAAGATGAGCGATGAATGTTGTCGTCATCTCTGAACTCGTAATGCCTGAATGAATTATTTTCATCGTTCATTTTGATAAGATCACGATCGTTACTATCTAAATGAAAACGAGCCTCTTATTTAACAAACCACATAGATACGCTTACAACAAGAAGCAAACCGTAAAATCTCGGAATTGGCAGAAAGAGCTCATTCTGAAGCTGTGAAGTAAGTTTGATTTTGTATTGCTATGTTTTGTCGTCATTGTAGCTGTAAATCAGGATTTGTGTGGTGTCATGGTGTTGAAACTGTGTTGAACGATGAGTGCGCTTTTCGCATGGCAGTGAATATAGCAAAATATGACTACTATATACTTTAGCATATTGTAACGATAATAATTTCTCAACATGTTTTGTTGCTTGCTGCAGCACTTGGCAAAGCAGCCGATTTTGGGGATTTTTTTCTTAATTAAACACGCAATTGTCACTGTACACCACTGCATTTTGCATTCGAATTTCATTTCTTCTATTGTTCCCAGTAATCTGGACGAGACAACGCGATCTGTATACAAAGAAAACATTCGAATTAACGCCGCTTTGGAGTATCACATGACTGAGTCAAAAGATTTAAGAAAGGTACAGGAAGACTGAAACATTTGTGGCTAATTTTGTGACTCAATTCTACTATTATCAAACGCAGAGTAAAGCAACGCTGGAAGGGCAAAAACGAGAGCTAGAAAACGACAAGGTACGTATCTGTTACTTTAGAGGAATGTGTTGCTTGTATCACATAATCTATAAAAAATAGCGGTCTAAATGAAGAATTGAATAAAGAATTGAATTAATAAATTTGTATACTTGTAGGAGTTAAACGGCTTGATTGTTCAAGAAAAAGTGGTCGAATCCAAACATCAAAAGAAAACGATAAAAGAGGTATTTTTGTGCACGTATAAACCAGTTTCTACAATACATTTACACTTGCAAAGTTTATTCATGCATTATCGTTACGAATACATTGTTTTACAGTTAAAGGAAAAGGTTGAGATGCTAGAAAAGTCATTGAGCCACGTCATTCGTGAATTCGATGTTGAGAGAACGACAATAGTAAAAAGGTCTACTGACGACAATAAGCATGCTGTGTAAGCGATTTAAATAACTCAATGCAAAATAAGTTTCTTTTCGTCAAAAATGTCTAATTCTTTTTGCAAGAAACGAAATCGCACGTTTAAACAAAATGATCGAATTGAAAACGAAGGAAATGAATCGAGTAAAACGATTGGCCAAGAATATTTTGGATCAGGTTAAAACCATCACTTCAAGCTGAAGCACAATTTTTAATGATAATTTTTTCTCGTAATATTTCTACTTTCTACTTATGATTTTATCTTCAGCGAAACGAAATTGAGCATTTCCTTTTGGATTCTTTGGAGCATGTGAAAAACGAAATCGCCAAAAACAGGTGTGAACTACAATTTTTATTTCATTTTATGGCAAAAGATTTTTTTGTGATCGTATTCCCCAATTCATTTTAAGTAGTTTCATTTCGAAAATTTCAAAATCATCTTTGAAATTCCCTTTCCTTAAAAAATGATTTATTACGGCGATAGCTCCGCTACATAAAATGAACCTTTTTTCGGTAACAGGAGTCAATACAGAAAAGATGCGCACGCAGCTTACCAAGAAAGAATGTTGGAAGCCCACAGCGGTCGAGGAAATTACCCGAAGATAAGAACATTTAACAAATGGGACACGAGCACAAACAGTGTCTTTGACGATCTTAAAGAAGCGGAAATATGGACTGGATTTGAAGAAAGAGTTGATATCAACGACTTAACCTGGGAGCAGAGAGAGCGCGTTCTCAGACTATTGTTCGCGAAACTTAATGGACACAAGAGTAAACAGAGGTACAGAGAGTATTTGAAAGCCCTAGTCACGTCACTCCAAAAAATAACAAGTATAGCAACCTTTTAACACCTTTTGAACTTTCCATTGTTCCCCCGTTTTAGGCGTCCTGTTCGTGCCCTTGAAGATAGCAATGAATCGAAGCTTTGTATTCCTGAGGAAACAAGAATGAAGTCGGAAGACTTACTACCAGAACAGTCAAGTGCAACGAATGCAACATTCATAACACAACAACCTTTTCCGAGCCTCGACTCTCGAGAACTACCGGCAATAGCTCGGTAGCGAGAGTTGGGACACATGTGATCGACTTGATGCTAATTTTTACAACAGATGAAATAAATTCCTTTTTGTATTTATGGTGTGTACTAAATTCCATATATAACAATAGTTATGTCTATGCAAACAAAAGCAAACAACATGTTTCTATTCCCAAAATAAAAGTAGAAGTTTCCTCACATCATCAGATAACTTTCCTCGCTGTACAATCTTAACACAAGTGAAACTCTTGGAGTTTATAACCAAAAATTCGTGATGAAAGCAGAAGCTTTACAGGAATCATCAGATGCAGCTACGTACAGAAAAGAAGCGCGTGCGTAAGCTCATCCTGTGCACTTATACACCACATTCCCCGTGATGAAAATCTCCTTTCAACTGATGAACCTTCTACGTAATACATACCTATTAATGATCAAATCAAGTCGCATCATTATACTGCTTAAACTATCCGACCCGCCCATTTTCTCCTTCGAAGTTCAATCATGTCTTCGGACACGGATTTCACCATCTCAAGATATAAGTCTACTTGATTTCGAAGTCCATGATACATCTACAGAGGCAAAAGAACGGCAGTAACGGACAAAAATAAAAAAAGCCCGCGTCAATAAATGCGAAGACACTTACTGCAGAGAGATGGTCATCATCATCCAACTTCTGTAACGCAGTCAAAAGTTGATCCAAAGCAAGGTAGGGAAACCAAACTGGTTGACTATTCGCCGTCAATGCTTCCTGATTCAGAAGAGAAATTTTACAAATCATGACGCAAATAAACAACAACCAATAAATAGCTGAGTCATTTGCATTGAAAATTGTTGTTAAAAGTTCATTGTGTCGTTGAAGCACATGTGCTTTATAAGAAAATGAAAAATGGCTGTATGATGACTATCCATACACTCGTGTCATGCTTATGGCTATATATAGCAGATATAGTAAACATAACGCTATAAGCAATCTATATCCCCAGCTTTGGAGTGCTAACCAACACATTTAAATGGAATATATTTTTTAGAACTACCTCTAATCCAAAGTATTCTTTGCCATGTCCCATCGTTGCATTAAGATATTCCATAGCTAAATCCGTAGCTTCTTCAAGCAGGTCGAAATTGATAAAAAGCTGAAGAAGTTCTCCCGGGTTCGCAACCTGCAATGGACGAAAGACTTGCCATTCAAATCATTGAAATATGGCAAAAAAATATTAAAAACATGTGTTCTGGTTATTAAATGTAAATGATCACAGATTCTATTTTTTTACTTTTTAAATGAATAGTTTAAACTTAGTTGTTGCAGTTTAAATAAACCTTTCAATCAATCAGAAACCAGTCTAAAAAATTGAAATAAGGTTGAAACCATCATTTCCCACGATAAACATACCTTATAATCATTAATCAACCAAGTCGGTAAAGAGCATCCCATGGACAATAGACGTGTACAAACGCATTTATAGTAAACTGAGGTTTGTTTTGAGCCAAATCTTCTCAGGTAAACGTTGAGCAAAGACCATGCCTGATCAGCTAGGCTGAAAAGTAAAACATTAAAAATGCCAACCGTCATATATTTTACTGTCATATCTAGTTTGAGTTGCACAGGACACTAGCCAACGAAAAAAGACATGCTAAAATACTACTTTTCAATCAACGTTACGTATAGCTCATAGAAAAAGACATGTGATTTAGACAAAACTCCATAAATGGTAGTGCACCTTGCATCTCTAGTCAAACCAGAGCATTTTCTATCGTTTAGCTTCAGCCAAGACATTCGTTCATCCATATCCCTGAGGAGAAACAAAAATCCTACGTAAGTAGATTTGTCTAGTTTATAAAATGTAGTCGACACAGTGATGTATCAATGGAACTAGTGATCCAAGGAATAGTGCAGAGTTTCGAAAAAATGCCTTTTCACTCGTAATTTGAATAAATCATAAAATACAACGCCTGTTTAATTCATTTCTCGATAAACACCGATTGACTCAATGGTTAATTAAAACATGCCATCCACTGTCCAGGTTTATGGGCATGGCAATGAATCTAACTTGATCATACATTAGCAGTCGACTCGTTCAACTGCATCCCATTAGCACCAATTTTGAAGTAAATAGTACCCTTAGTCACAATTTAATAGAGAAATAATCTGCGCATGCGTCCGGAAAAATTAATTAAGCAGTCTCTCGGCAGCGTACTAGCGTACGAATTTATGAAAAGTACAATAGCTTGAGTTGTCCCACTCGTTTTGAAAAACAACTCGGAACGACTCGGATGAGAAGCGACTTAATAAGAACCAGGCTTTTGTTTACAAGAGTTCTTCTCATATAATAAACCAAGCAATGTTTCAATTAATTCTTCTGACACTGTGCCTTTTTGTGACACTTATAATTTAAGACAACCTTAAAAATGTTTTATACAATTTTTATTGGTTTATATCTTTCTGATTTAACTCTCTCATTCACTGTTTCTCGTGTATCACGAGCAAACCAGCCATGGGCTTCAAGGCAAACAAGGATTATCTGGTTCCCTTAATTAACATGCGACACTTAGGTGCACAACTATCTTCGGGTATCGGGAGGCACGGAATTTTTTGTTTTCAAAATTTGTCTTTTTGTTTACAAGAGTTTACCTCACAAAAAAACTTTTTAAAATATCCAAGGATACTGCAAATTTTAAAACAAATTCGGCCTATTTGATAGGATATTTATAGGATACTACGTACACATTTATTGCAAACTTACATTGGAGCTGTGTACAATGATATCTTGACGCATCTTTATAATATAATAAGAAGCATATTACTTTCAAACAATATATAACGGAGGGTGATATTGGTTTCAACACCTACGAAAAAAAGGAATCAAAAGCATCAAAAGTGCAAGAAAATTGAAGAAATACCTTGCCGCCAAACCATCAAATATTGAATTTAAAGACAATTCAAAGGCTTTTGCAATACTGAAAGCTGTATCGTACTGTCCAGTTTGGATCAAAAGAACTAGAGTTTCAGTCGGTGATAATGGCGGTCCTAAAATAAATGAGCAGCATACGTAAGTAAAATAATATCTTCCAATATTTTACAAATGAAAGAAGCGGAAGCGAATTCAAGGATCATTTTACTCACCCACCCCCCCCCCCAAACACACACACAAAAATATCATTTCTCTGCGGCCCCTAAACAAAAGTCCATAGTTCTAATCTCAATATACAAATCTACAAATCTAGTACCAGTAACGTGAGCAGAATCGGTGTCGTGTTGTAGCAGCTGTAACCTAGCCAAGATCAACATGTATTCTTTTTCAAGATCAGAAATCTCAATCACGGTAACTTGTCGTCTTCTCTTCGGTATCATTGCCGTGAGAGCTTCATCAGCGTCCTCGTCGCCTTGTTTGCGTTTCGGTGACATGTTTGGAGCTTCGACAACCTTGAACAAACGTTTTCTGTTTTAAAACTTTATAATTCTTCCACAAAGATGTTGCATTAATTTTACCTTCTGGTCCTTTCTCTCCAAGGGTTTCACTATCCAGGAATTCTTTTCATCCAAAAGACGAAGCGAATTCATTGTCGTGAGGTAGCATTTCGCCTGAAATAAAATGAAATAGAAAAACGGCAAGAAAAACTCCAATATTCTGAAATGAAGCATCAACGATAAGGCTTTTCAATGCAAATTTTTTTACTGTAAAACTTTGAAAAAAAAGTCTTCGCGAAGCATAATTTTACTGAAAATCATTCACAAACCTGTTTCTGAAGACTCTCTAAGCCGGGTAACTCCTGTGCCAATCGTATCCCATACTCGTACATTGCGCTTGCAGCTGAACAGATAAAAAGTGCGTATACTATGTTTCATTATTCCATGGTAATGTCAATTACATCAATAAGCATCAGTCGTCCAACCTTTTCTGTGATTTCCTCTGTAAGTATGAAATGAGTACAACAGTTGATAGTACTGGTGCGTGGAAATATCCACAGTTCTTGCATGATATTCAATGATACTAACAACCTAAACCAAAATCAACGTATACAACTTTCACATTACTAAAGCAACAAAGAACTCGGACATTCTATAATCATTAAGCATAAAACGTGGATGGCAGTCTGTTCATACGCATGAGAAAGCAAGACGCAACGTACGCCCAAAAAGGAAAATTTGCATGCCATATTTATGAGACAACGTTTGCGTGGAACGTCCAGACGTGTTTTGTATGGGATACTTACGTGCAAGTACACAACTATACACTTCAGTACATCATGCATGTGAGATGGCTGTATACTTCGTAATGAAAATTCAAGAAAAAATGTCTATTTTGCACGAAATACTCATGTTCAGGAGCACAACTGTACACGTGTAAGAGTATCACAATACACTTGATAAATAAAATTGCGTTGCCTTGTTAGAAAGATAGCAGAAAAAAATTTCAGGTTAAATCGCCAATGAATACACACCTCTTCCAATAAGTCAACGAAAGGATACTCAACTAACTGCAATCTTTCGCCTCGTTCACATAGCACGACCACAAAACGATGAAGACAGTCTCGTTTTCTACAATTATAAATCGTGTGAGAGAGAAATAAGCTTGCTCTACGCATAAAAGCATAGCAAAGAGAAAAAAGGGAAGTAAAACAAAATCAAGTGAATGATTTGTAACATCATAAATCGCGTTGAGGCAATTTTCCTGCCTCTTGAAGTAACATATACGCACCTTTCAATGTCAGGATTGGAGGTTATTGCAGCGTAAGCTTCGTCATTGTGTCCTAAGTCCAAATGATGCTTGAAAATATTGGACCAAATAATGGGCTAGTGCAAAATAAAGACAAAAATGACCATGTTGAAAATACAACAGTTCTCATGTTCATTTTATATGGAAACAAATTTGGAAATTAAAATAATCTGTTTAACAAACCAAACTGGGATCTTTAGGCTCGACTACACTAAGCACAGCATTTGCAACCTTCAGGACGAATTGAGAGGACCCAAACTGCTCAAAAAGTCGCATCACCTAAACAGAGACATTTAAAAGCAAAATTTAAAATTATTATATTTTAAAAATCACTGAATCACACAGAAAAGAAATACGTAGAGCAACGTTTAAGCGGAGACTTATTACAATCCATGCAGTCGATATTCCATACATCAAGTTCAGTATACGATCTACAAGCTATAAACGTCAGAGCAGGCAACTTTTCACTAAAGCTCAACGAACTTTCAACACTGACCTTAACAAAACATTGTGTTGCTCTTTCATTTTCGTTGACGCAATCTTGAAGAATTTTCTTAAAAAGGGGTTCATTGTCATCTAAAAAATTCAATAAAAAGATTTATGGATCTTTTATATCGATCGAAATACATAGTGACCTAAGTGTCAAATACATTGACAAAAAAAATTTAGGTTCACATACTTAAGTTATGAACAGCGAAGACAAAGCAATCATAAGCCTTGAAATAATCACCGAATACCAGATGTGCCTGGCCTTGTAGAAATGCGAGACTTGATCGACCATGAGTTAACCACGAATCCAAAAGAAAACAATACTCTAGTAGCGTCTGAAACTGGCCTTTTGTCACAAGATATTCAGCAAAAAACATGTTTGCTCTGTTCGGCCATCTTGAAATGAGTTAAGAGTTCTTCAGCTTACAACGTCTATGTAAATGTTTTCTTGTCGTAGATATAAAAAAAACTTTGTTTACTTTTAAAAGATACAAAAGCAAAGTCATCGCCTGAAGAGCACGAACAATGGTGATTTTAAAACTGCCTCGGTTTATATTCCCCATGTCTTTAAGATATCTCTGCAACAACAGTCTCATGTGATTACCTCCTTTACCGGAGAGAAATAATTCGAGGATGGGACAACTTGTAATTTCTAAAATACATCAACAATTTTGCTCAATACGTAAATAAAGGACAACATCATGTTCTCATGATCGACACAAACCCACCTGGAATAAGAAATGACTCTGGATTAGACACATCTGTGATTTCCAATGCCGCAAGTTGCTTCAGATTATTGTCCCTATAAATGTAGATGGGTAAAAATGACAGAAAATCAGATTAAAAGTTCGGAGCTCAAAGGATGGAGTTAAGTGTTACTCTTGCCTATTCACTTAGTTTTGTGTTGACAATGCAGTTTAAAGTACATTATGTAATTCGCTTTAATATTTGAGGCTTCTCACCATAATAAATTGATATTGGTAACTAGTCTGTTTTAACGGGATTTTCAAATTTTTTTGCAAAGTCAAGAAAATTTTGCTTACAGAGCATTTGGAGGTGTTGGTAAGACTGATCGAGTCGCAAACCACAACAGACTGTGATAAACGCGAAGCAGGTATGTCGCTCTTGGCACATGTTCTGAAGATATGGTGTGACTTCCCAAAGAATGAAGACCAGCCTAAATAAGAATAGTTCCCAATGGAGATATTTTAGCAACTGAAGTTAAACCTAATAATATTTTCGCACCAATAAATTTAGGGGAGTGAGACGCGACCAAAAACTCCCAACCTAAAAACTGGAATGGCTATCAAATTTTGGAACCTCAACAGCCACACAAAACAATAAAAAAATATTTGATAAACTCTACTAGAAAAAGGATTTGTGAAAAGGAAACATTTTTCATGTTAGCCTTATAGCTAAAAAAATATAAGTTTTATTACTCACTCTGCTACTGAGTCTTGTCATAACATGCAACAATATCAACAAATCACGACACAGACACACTCTTCTTTCACAAAGCTGCTCATATGAGCTGGCAAGAAGTGATACAGAGAGGTCACTTGCAAATAATCTTCTTAAATTCAGATGCTGTGAGCGCATATCGTCACCTGTATGATGATAAACCTATTGTATACAATGTTTCATTGATTTTATCGCTATTTTCAGGGGAGGAAATATGACAATGTATTCGTTAGAATATATTTGAAGATGATGTTTTTTTCAGTCGCGAAGACGTGCAACAAATAAGTAATTACACAATAAAATCGCAACAAATAAGTAATTACACAATAAAATCTGTCTACAGCCTTCGGCGGATAAAATTTTATATCAGTGAACGTTTGACTGCATTATGTATAATCCTGAAATCGGATCACGTATTTTCTATATTTAACATAGTTCAATGTTTATTCTATTGATGCTACGTACTTACCTAAAGCATCAAAGTCATCTTCATCCAGTTCATAATTAACATCCAAAATATTTAAAACGTTCTCGACAATCTTCATTAAATTTTGTATTTTTTGTAATCTACAATGAAGAGAACAGATAACACGCAGATTTCAAGAATACAAAATTGATGCTTTCTACATGCTATGCGACTATATTATTTTCACTAGCAGCGATAAACAATAACACTTAGACAAAATGGGCAATACCTTATTTCAATGGTCATTAAAAACTGTTTTTCGCTTGTTTCTTCTTTCTTTTGATCAAGTTTAAATAACATCGCGGCAGCAATATCTTGCATTAAATGATCCACGTCATTACCACAACTCAATTCTTGTTCGATGAAGACGATGTGATCCTCAGTTAACTAAAATACATCATATCAAATATTTTTCATGAATGCAAAGACATAGCTAGCTCCTGCATCGCTTGTAACTTTTGCAACTAGAGATAGTTATAAATCTCAATGCATGCACCATCAAAACATTTTTATAGAGTGCTTTACCTGTTCCGTCACAATATTTATACATTGGAAAAGAATCTGGGCATCATTTCTGTCAATTTGATCTGAAGAGAACGTGAATGCTGTTATAACGGTCAACTAAGCTTAGAAACATTTTCGAAATTAGTTTCGAAATCATAGCTTTTACGAGTATCTTGGAAAATATTTTTCAACACGTAAAATTCTTTAAAGATATTGAAAACTGCAACATTCATTCATAATGCTAAGTATTATTGCATGGTATCTACAATATAAACAGGAACAAACGCTTAAGAACTCTCCTCCACACTCATTGTACAAAGGGACTCTTACATGTCCTCTAAAACTTCGAGTATTTCACAAATGAGACACATTTGGAAACCTACCGTCGATAGATAATTCCTCAGCCAGCGAGGTAATAGCTTCTTCGCAGAATGGTTTCCAATGCAACGTTGTTAGATCATCACAAGGTCGCAAGAACGATATTGCTTCCTACAAACAATTTAGTCGTTTACGTTACAAAGCAAAAGGTAGAAGTATGAAGACAATAGACATTCCTTATGGCATATGACAATCTACACTCCTGGCTCTTGCTTGCATAAATGCAGATCTTTTGGACTAGCCATAGCAATAGATCGTTAATTGAATAACTATGCCTAGCTGTATTTCCTTTACTAGAACACTCAGAAGAAAGCAAAGACTTAAGACCGGTCAAAATCTTCTTAATATAAAATCGCCATTCTTCCAAAAAAACTATCCTACTTAAGCAGTAAATTGAAGTGCAAAGCTTTCCTTTACTTTACACAAAAAGACATTCATTACATAAATGAAGTAGTTAAGAAAAACAAAAAATGGATAGAATCTTAACTTCAAATAGACACAAACATCCAACCTTTCGTATGACCATCACTACGTTTGAAGCGTCATCCAAAAATAAACCCAACGGTTTGTTTGAAGCCTGAAACGACAGTAAAGCAAATTTTAATGTGCTTAAAGAAGACTGATTTAAAATCTTTGTGAAAGAAAATCCTAACCTCGTGATATTGAACAAGACAAGCATAAAATCTAGACCACATCTGAAGTTGCAAATCGGAGTATTCATGAAACTCCACTTCATCTCTATTGGCTGCATTTTGGACCTGAGCAAAGGCAATTAACGAGGAAATGAGCGTGTATGAACAGCGAAGTTTCGATTTTATAAATACTGATTAGAACAATAAATTTCTCAAATGAACGAGATCCATAACTTTATCCTTCTAAGATTGGTAACTTTATCCGAACTTACAAAATTTTTATCAAATGAAACATGAATATAGATTGATGTGGAAAAAATGTGAAAAATATTTGCTAATAAAATTTAATGGAAAGTTTTAAAGCAAATCCGACCTGACTATCAACAAGAGCAATAACTTGTTGTTTTAAGTGCGTCTTTCTGACAGTTGTCAGCGGTCTTCGCGAAGAACTGTCAAAAATCTAAGAAGAAAATTAGATTAATATAGCTACTGATCAATAAAAACTGATCGTCAACACAGCAGGGACTTTTAACACACGCAATTGTACGTCAACTTTGGCAAACCTTGATAGCTTTGTCGATATCATACTTCGAAAACCGACCAGGATGGAAAATATATTCAAGATATGTCTCCTAAAAAAGACACGTTGAAAACGTTGTACGATGTTTCCAATGAAATAATCTACAACTCATCAGAAGAAACGTTTAATTCACCCGAGGTTCCTGGTGCTCTGCTACATTAATCTCCGATGGCCGAGCATCTTCAAGTATGGCATGTTGCCAACCAGTCGGTGCAAGCTGATTACTAAAAAAAGGCAGCAAAAAGATAGAGGGTAGATTGTTACGGTCAAGTTTTCTTTTCTTCGTAAGAAATTGTGTTCTACCTCTAAAGATGTAAAGAAAATGCAGGAAAATTATTCTGAAGAAAATTCAACAAACAACTATCCCACCTTTCAATCAAAGCATGTCGAACAAAAGGAACACCTTCGTCTGAGATCCATAATGTCCAAATTTGATTGATTGACAGGACAAAATCAATCAAATTACCCTAAAACAAACAACACAAAACAACAAAATTATATGTCAGATAAGCATATAACACACGTAGGTGACTTGTGAAGCCTCTCCATGGTCAGTGCGTACCTTGGGAGAAAACAGATTCATCACTGAAACAAGAGTTATTTCTCCGTCCATGTAAACAACTTCGTAGATTAAAAACTAAAAGAGAAAATATCAACTTCGATGGTATGATATCGATGACAAACAACAATAGATGAATAAGACAATGCAAAACAAATAAGACTGTGAACACAAACACTTCTCCATGTTGTTATGCACGTACAGCTCGACTAAGCAAAATAGCCTTTAGTAAAACACATTACGCAGCAGAAACTGCTACGAATTCGCAAAAAATACATCTCCAAAATGCAAACCTAGTTTATTTGTACCTGTCCTTGTTGAAGCAGAGATATAAATACACCCAAATAAAGATGATGAGGCGTCGAACCAATTGCTTTCTTTAACATATGACTTTGACCTGTATCATATAATATTTTCTAAATACATTCAAAATATGATGTGATGCAAAATGAAAGGAAAACGAGAGGATGAGGGGGGGGGAGGGGGAGGAGGCAGTCTTGAATAATGTACCTGTAATAGCTTGTAAATCAACATCATCAGGAATATCATCGATCAAGTTCTTCATTGATACACATTCCTGTGTCTAATACAACAACCATATAATGACAAACTTTTAAGTATTTCATTGACTAATACAAAACATCCACGATGCACACATAGGTACTTCAACATACGTATGCACACAAAAAATATAAATACATAATGGTCCATTCTTTAAATCGTTTGTATTGTACGTTTGGTAGCAAATATGCTTTGACAAATATCTCGCCATGGAATATGTTTGTAAATGTCGATCGTCCAGGTTGGTATAGTCCTGAGAAGGACTGTTTTTGTTGTTGTTGACTGACGTTTCGACAACCTTAGCGGTAGTCACCTTCAGAGTAAAAAAAAAGAGTCATGACTCTGAAGATGACTACCGATAAGGTTGTCGAAACGTCAGTCAACAACAACAAAAACAGTCCTTCTCAGCACTTATTAACCTGGACGATCATCATTTACAAACATATAACGATACTCCCGGGTTCAAACCATTTACTTTATCGCCATGGAATCATAACCGCTAGTTTTACTACCTGCCACTTCCATACTCGTATCTTGTGGTCTTGATAAAGTGCAAACACGTACGTCTCCTTATCAAGAGGATTTATCTGAGCACTTACTACAAGATCACCAAGGGTACCGTCACCACTGATAAGGAAAATAATGAATAAAACATATTAACTTGCCACTGATCTACAGAGAAATTCTTTTTTGCGTCTTAAAAAATCAACTAGATGGCTTCACACTCACCGGATTCGCGAAGGTACAAGTCCACTCCATAATCGTTGCATCACACCAGCGTTTTTTAACTCGTAATGTTCAACAACACCTGAATACAGAACTCTGATTGAAAATATGCACAGTTACCACCAGGCATGGAGAATTAAATCAATCCAAACAAAGGATAAAACAAAACAAAACAGACAAACAATACAGAAACGAAAAGGTGACATATTATGAAGTTTGATATGCTGATTTTGGAAAGAAGACTTAAAAATTGTTTCCTGTCAGTTTCTCTCTCAAATCAGTCAAATTTAACCTGTATAATACCTTGACTCTGAGGAGGTGGTAGTTTTAAAACTACTGCATTTCCATCGTTGGTTATCATATTAAACAGACAATGACCATCAGGAAATAACCATGCACTGAATGAATTGCAACTGCTTGAAAATGATGCAAAGTTCCAAGGTAAGTAAAGATCGGGCAATTTTTGTTCACTGAATATCGATGGAATGCTTATTGAAACACGAGGCGACAGAGAGAAGTCCTTCAGAAAAGTAAAACATTGTGATTAATATCTTTTGTGAAATTGTCATGATTGCCTGATTATGTAATTTTAAAATTTGTAAATTATCTTACTTACATGACTTTGAAGTTTGTTTGGATGCGGAAATATGAAACGATGAACAGAATTGGTTGTAGCAGCTAGTAGCACAACAGATGACGAAGTCTCGAATATCTCAATGTTGGGTAGAAGTGATGAGTTCTTAAAATGAATTTTCATTAAACTATCCTGAAGATTGACATCTAATGACACTTCATGCAATTCCAGTACATTTCTAGAAGTCCTCCTATTGAACACATACGTAAAGACAATTTTAGTCCAAATTTTTCTTCATAGGTCTTGGAAACATGATGAAAAATCCCAAAGACATGGTAAAAACATCTCCAAGATGACACGATCAAACAATTTAAGGGTTGCAAACATTAAATATGTATTGCAAGCAACAAATTTGTCCTCATTAAACCATATCTTAATTTTAGCACTAAATCTTAGCATAATCATGATGAACAATAACCTAATCATGCTATTGTTAATTGCTCGCTTATGTAATCTTATGTTAATACATACCCTGTGCAAGTTTTAGCAAAGCTTTCTATAGCTTTGCCATAAATTATATAAGTATATCAGACAAAGTTTTGCATGCTTTTATTGATTTTCATTCCCATCTCGGCTAAATAACAGAATACCCTTCCACTCAGTTTTAGTGTTAGGGTTAAGGTCAAGTTTATATTATATGTATACGAGTGGACGGGTATTCTGCAATCGCTCCACCACTTTTCCTTCTCTACTTTAGCACCACCATCTTCACCTACCCTCCCGGGCAAAAACGATACAACGACACATTTGTCACTCTACATTTCATAATTGCTCTAAAGTGATAAAAAATAGCGACGAGTTCTATTCAAAGAAAATGACAGCAATAAACAAAGGACTCACCAATGTATGAAACGGTTTCGACCAATTGATTCAACCCTTGAATTGTATTTGTAAGCAAATCCGCCACCCGCCTCTGAATTTGTGAGTCCATCTGTTCTGACAGTGATATTTGATAACGAACCAGTGTTCACTTCGATTTCCTCAGCTATATTTTGTTCAATTTGTAATACAACTTCGCGAAAGATAGAAGTTTGTTCACCCGCCATGTTTTAAATGAGAATCGGAAGCTTGTCGGATTCTGGGCGGAAAGACACGTCGCTAGTTCGTACAGCAGTCGTTACGTTTTGGTCGTGTGGAAAGTGCGTCATTTCAATGGTTATTTGATTTCTTTTTATTTTATCAATATTATTAAGCTGATTTCAACTATGCAATAAATTTATTTATGAGTGTAAATTATCGTAATTATGAGCTGATAGCAGTCATGCTTGAAGAGCTCATCCAGGATATACTATAAAAAATCTATCAGACAACAGTGTACGATCCTGATAAGATCAATCTCTTATATTGACATGTACACGAAAACCCCTCAGTTTCAGTGGTTTAAGATTCAAATTTTGTCTTGTTTGCATCACGCAAACCAAGTTTGTTCTTTCAATCACTTTACATAGCCTCTTAACACTTTCATAAGGATTGCAAATGGATGGTGATTTACGAACGAAGAACTGACTGGACGTTAGAGTAACCGTCAGGGTTCAACTATAAAGCTCAAGTCTTATCAAATATACAAGCCTAGCAAGTGTGGATGTTACTGTTTCATGAATTTCACCCAACTGTTATATCTATGTATCAATTTTGGTGAAATTAGGGCAAATAGCTGGCGTCGGTAGTAAAACACAGAAGAAATAAAAATTGTCATTGGATGATCTAAAAGGTATAACATATTTCATTATAGATTTTCACTTAGGTTTGCTCAGAGGATTGACAAAGTTCCTGCCACCTTTTACGATTCTTTCGTAAATGCTCTGTCAAAACCTTTTTCACGGACAACTTTTTGTCCGAGTTATCAGGCATCGGCTTTTTCAACGAGTCTTCTTGGATTTTGTTACTAAGTGTCCTATTGCTCTCGCTTAACTTCATCCCTCTAAATTGCCTCAAGCGATCCAAAACGTCACCGCAAAGATCAAGAGACGGCGCTAATATTATGTTGATAAAACCTAATGAAAAAATATTATGATAACATCCACGACTTTTTAAATCAAATGTTTTCGATCAAATCTATCCCCACTTATCTACTTGTTCCAATCACTATTCTGATCACAAAAACATCATTGCTCACAACAAGAGGGGGAAAGTTATAACGAAAGGGGCGCAAACGGATGAGCAATGACATGTAATCATCAAGATATTCCTACTTAATCTCCTTCTCAATTACGTCATAAACAACCTGGGACAACAACCTTGGGTAATTTATAAGGTAATTTGCCTCCCAACTTAAAAAATCTTAAGTATTGTAGCTCATTCTTTATTCCTAGTTTACAGTTAGCTCGAAGTATAGATGCCTTGAAACTTTACTTACTGACTTGGCTCTCTGGTATAACCGTTGTTTTTCTATCACAAAGTGGAGACAAAGGTAGACCAAGATTTTTCTCAATATCACCTTGCTCAAAAAACTCCTCCATTACTCTATCAGCCCATTTCTTGTGTACTGACCATTCTTTTGCTGGATGACCAATGTCAGCACAGTGGAGAACAAACGGCATGCATTTTGTTGGGTCGAATGAACTTCTATGTGAAATCGAAAAAGAACGTGTTTGCGCATGGAAGAACCTTCTGCTTACACTTGAGCACACAACGCCCGTTTAAAAATACCTAAAGCTTAACATGATTGCACATAAATTCATCTTTGCATTCTCTGCCTTTTTAACCATAAGGTTTCTTTATTTATTGATGTTAATCCTAAACATTGTCACACCACTTCACTAATTTCTTATGAATTCTTACATGTTGTTGTTAACTAAACGTGCTTTGACTGTTTTCAATTCCTCAAAATGTTTGGACATGTCTGTTCCCAAAACCATTTCAATGACCAGTGACCGAAACTCGCTAAATAAAGCAATTTTTAATTGGCACAAGAGATTTTATGAAATATCTTTAAAGGATTTTCTTTCACATCACCTATAGTCTCCAGAGTTAAGGTTGACCAAAATGTTGATTTCTTCCTTAAAATTTAACACACAATTTTACTTTTTATCAACGAATTGTAAAAACATAAAAGACATACTTTAAGTAGAGTATCAAAGACTGTTGCACTTACCGTATTAAGAAGACCGAACGCCGCACTGATATGATGATTTTCCTGTACGGATCTATCGTTGTACATCATAGCCAATTCCGATCTGTCAATGATAAATATATAGTTTTTAAAAATCCTTCTCCAACAGCATTTTACTGTTCGGAAAGCTGAGCTCCCTTTTCACTAAAGCTGAGCTTTTTTTATCCAAAGATATATGTCTTCCCCTTTCCCTATAAAGCTGAGTCTTTTTATCCAAAGATATAGCTATGTCTTCCCCTCTCCCTATAAAGCTGAGTTATTTTATCCAAAGATATAGCTATGTCTTCCCCTCTCCCTATAAAGCTGAGTTATTTTATCCAAAGATATAGCTACGTCTTCCCTCTCCAACATAGCGTGTTTTTATGTTCTTTTACAAAACCGATTAAACAGCTATGTTGGCTATTTATCTATAGCATATGATTAAAGACAAAGCAATGGTTTGACATGGTTCAGAATTTTCCTTCAGGCCACGAAAAACATGCATTACACTAACGGAATAGAAAAAATATATAATAAAGCTTTAAATTACATGAAATAATTTAAAAATGGTCTTTTGAATACCTCGTGTTTATATGATACAAGTTCGTTTTTCCCGTGTGTTCATAATCATGGATCATAGCGGCGAACAAAAATGCAAATATTTGTAAGTCAGAGAAAGCAGCCTAAGCCAAAAAGGTTAAATTTATTCATTAAGTCTTGCATCAGTATTCATTACCAATCTAATGGAATTGTTATACTAATAAATACTAATTTGCATAAAACATAAGCAAACTATGTGAGCCCTTCTAAAGGTGTGACAGAAATCATCTCTAATTCTCTGTTTTGCGTTTTCAAAAGCAACTGTTCTTGTTTTGACTATGCAATCTAGCATTTAATGTTTCTCTAAGTTGATGGAAAGTGTATCTCTTCATAGTTGCCTGTTGTAAGAATTTATCGATGACAGTAATGACTATTGTATTATAACCTACCGCCGCATCTAGTTTCATCAACATGAAATGCACTGTCTGCAAAACCTCAGCTGCGTGGCAATGATTGTGATATGCGTTTGGATACTTCTGATATCCATCCTGGACTACGTGAAGAAAATGATCCAACATTGACCATGGAATCTGCAATTAAATCAACATAAATCATCATGCATATGATTGGACAAAGAAAAGAAAACTATCAAATGACCATAGAATCTGCAAGTAAATCAACATAAATCATCATGCATATGATTGGACAAAGAAAAGAAAACTATCAAATAATGACCATAGAATCTGCAAGTAAATCAACATGAATCCTCATGCCAAATTTTATTGGAAAACAATACAATGTTTATACGCTTAAAACTCTTACGTTGAACTTCTCGAGGATTGAGAATTTGCTAAATATTTCCAAAGCGACGAATCTTAAAGCTTGACGTTCACTAACTTCATCGATTTCCAGCACATCACATGTCCAATTGTCGACAGTCTACATGTAAGGATGAAATACAGGTATGAAAGCTATTCAATAAACGCACTCGTGACGCGGCCTAATCATTTCATTCTGTTCGTCATGTTGTATAGAAAAATGATGGAAAAATGGAGAATTATTATTAAATAGTTTAAGACGGCGAAATCTATTTGAAATTGACTAAAAAATGAGGTTGTATTTCAAGTGCATGAGCAATACAATGAATGAGCAAAAGTTAAGTGCATAAGAAGCCCACAAGTTTTTATACCGCTATGTAAATTTCAGAGCATTATCATCATTCATTTCTATAACTTAAAAATCTATTATTTTCACACTAATTAACCGCAGAAAATTTACATAGCAGGACTAAATTTGCGGGCTGGCTGCGCCAGTGATAAGATCTCTCTCGATGAAAACACTTTTGACTTAGGATTTATGATGACCCGTCTCGTTAAGAATGTTCCACATCAAATTAATAGTTGCTGATACGAAAGTCCTGATTTTCGGGGTACAGAAAGACAACCGGAACATAAATTTTTTTAAATTTGCCAAGTTTCGTTATTTTTTTACATTCTTACTTGAAGTAATTGCTCTACATCAGATGGTAATCGTATTCCGCAGACATCTTTGTACATTCTACCATTTATAAAAAAAAAATTCTGGTTATAAGAAAGCATATTTTATGAAAGGGCTGAATGACTCGAGGTTTTATAAAAGTTTTGTTATAAAAAAAAGTCTGTCTCTCTTGCACATACTTTTCGACATATAAACTACATCTGACGGCAGATATAACTTGTTTGAACTTGAAGTGATTTCGAGTAAGACTCTTTGAAATGTGGAATTGAGTTGTAAATGTTGCTGTCAGCCATTTTTGCACTTCTTTTGGAATGAAGTCTCCACATTCTGAATTTTCTTTTTGGTGGGCTATGGAGGGCTGTCGTCCCGTAAGAAACCTATGACGAAATAAACATATTTTAATACGTACATGGTTTATGATACTTGACATGAGAATCAAAAAACGCTACGTTGTGTAAAATCTAAATCTAAGATACAGAAAAATTAATGAAATTAGAAATCTCTGAGGGATGATGTAAATTACAAACAAAGCATACGAAATTGTAAGAGTAAGTTATAAAATGAAATGTACAAGAGAAAAAACTGGTGAGAATTCAGAATTAATATAGATACGAATGCCGGTATTTGATTTAAGATATACCTAACACAAAAATTGCACAATGCATAAAGGAGTATTATAGTAAATATAGTCGTAGAAATAAGTAAAAAGAGAAAGGATTCGTTGTATAAGATTTAATATTTGAGATAAGAAGACCGGCTTTAAGGTGACATAACATCTTGCCTCTCCTCCTCTGACGCCGACATTGAATCCATAATAATCGATACAGAAGTCAACTGCGAATGCAAATCGTCCATATCAGGATAGATTCCTTTTTCTATAGACTTCAACGTTCTCCGCAGCCTAAAGGGTCCAATAGTTTTTACTTGAAGATTACGTCGTTGAACAAATATAGCGGTACTTAAACATATTTTGAATGAGACTGCAAGTTGAACGGGTTATCTTTGAGCAACAATCTTGGTGTAATTGTCGGCAAATATAAAGTACCCACAACCCTTTAAAATAAGTGTTTGAACTCTTAAGTGTCCACACCCCTGAAATTGCAATGAAAAAATAGATAATGAATTTTGTCGTGCCATTTTTTCCCTAACAATGAACTTTTACGATTCAATTCATGGACAATTGTGGCCTATCAAGTTGTGAAAAACTTCAATTGTCCATATGAACCAATTTCATTAACTTTCATTCCAACGCAAACATAAACAAATATTTTGGTTAAGGTTAATGAAAAAATTACACTGTAGCTAAATTATTTCAGTTGCTTCACGTGAGCTTATACCGGCTAGGAGTTAAGTTCCGCTATAAATAGTTGTCCTATGGTCCAAGCACAGATTTCGCATCGATTAAACTTTGCAAACTCCACAAAAATAGCCTTAAGGATCCCTATCATAAAAAAATAAGAAGCGTCTTTTATACCTTTCTGCTACAATTACAGCAGACATAGTTTCTGTATCGTCTTCTATTTCATTATGAATTGGCTCTCCATTGTTAGTTGAATCTTGACTCTCCTGGCGAATGTTTTTTGCCTTAGCCTTATACTTGTGATCTGGAAGACAAAAAACATCATATATTCTAAAGTTTGCATCGATTCTTGTTCACAAGAATGTTCAATGAGCATACATTTGCTAAATGCCTTGGTAGCTTCTAGTGAAATTTTATTAATTGATAGGAAAAACATTTGCACCGCATGTTTTTAATTATGTATGAACGCCTCATTTACACTTTGCAGTCAATGATCATCGACAAATTTTGTTTAGTCAAAAGAGGGACTTTTGTGTAAAGAATATATAAGGTTACGCAGCGCACGAATATTAGAAAAAATTTTGAATAGTGGACAGGCAGGCAAAGACTGTGCATCTCCTTCGAAGCCCAAAACCTTTCATGAATAGCTGATATCTATACAAGAGTTTATTTTTATGTCAAAGTAAACTTTACAATTGCTGATTGACGTAGATAATGAATTTGTTTTTACTTGTGACCTTCATTCGATCATGATAAAACTAAAAATGTTTGAAAAATGCGTTAAGACCATATTTTTCTTCGCTATTGTTGTTGCATACGACGCAGAGCGAGAGACCCTTACACAAGTGATTACACAAAACTTTTAAGAAAACACAAAGAAAGAGTCAATCAATTGCTCATAAATGCACCTAAATAAAAAAAATAATAAAACGCCTGCGTTGATAAACCAAAGGAAATTCGAGCATGAAAACATCTATATTGTACAATCAGTCATGTCAGCACTTAATCTACTCGACATGTTGTTGTATCATATATTTTGTTTATATCTATACCTTGTCGAAGCATTTTTCTTTTTGGTTTCATTGTTGTTTTATTTGTCTCCTCGCGGAATGGCTTTATCGAGTTGCCCATTTTGCCAAGATTAACAACAACATGCACTTAGGAATGACAAAACGACAGGCAGTTCACAGAAAAATATTTTAACTATATTTTTCGAATTCAAAACAAAATGCATTTGTTGTGAAGATTTCCCTTGAAGTAATTGATGACTTCTTCATTGGCCGCATCAACTTCCAAAACATGGATGAAAATAGCAATAAAAATGAAACAGCTTGGCAAAAATCGGCGTTTCTATTGCTAAATCTATTTGCGTTTCTATGGCTATTCAACAAGAGCAACTGTGTTCAAGTAGACTTGCTTTTAGTTGCAAATTACGTCCAATGCACATCTATTTATCATGCCGCATCCGAGCCATTGTAATAACAACACTCACCCAACTTACAAAGCTAGCTTAAAACTAGGAGTTCCGTACCCTCGGGAAAATGCACACAATAGAAAATGCATTCCCCAGAACATTTCAATTTTCAAATTTCATCCAACTGATGATTTAGCAACAATCTGCACGACTACACAGATAATAATATTCAGCCAAAACATGCCACAGCAGCAAACATCTGCTAAACTTCTCGGAGCTCGCCAATTAGATTTGAAATCATTGAAAAATTTTAGACTACACCTGCTCTTTGGCATAAAATGATAAAACGCCGTAACGCAAAGTATTTATTGAAAATCACTAAATATTTTTCTACGTTTCAATAAGGAGTCTATATCAATAGGTGTAATTATTACACATCATAACCTTAATAAAGTCTCAGATCAATGGCAACATTGTAATTAAAAAATATGCTCCTGCACGTATATATGTCTATAAAACTTTGTCCTGATTACGTCATTGGTTATTGCCATTAGGTATTGTATATGTTGTATTTTCATAATACTGGCAACACTTTTTCCCTGAATTGTCTGTGCTGCTCATACTTATTAACGAGATTGCAATGTTTTTAATACTACGTGATGTACAAACGTGATAATTTGCTTAGCAATGTTCACTTTGTTCATTTGTTGTAGTTTAAGTAATAAAAATTTAATGAATGAATGATTTCATTTGAAATATCTTTCTACTTTTCTTTTATGATCTGGTGCATAAAGAGACCTCTTGATTTCCTACAAAGTTGATTCTCAGACTCACTGAATAGTTCCAGCAATATATTGTTTGCGACGCCAGTTAAAGTAAGACTTTCTAAACTTTCTATTGGTTTCCATGCAGCTGTGCTAATTACAAAACTCACGGTATATTTGTGCACGTAAAACTTGCAAATATTGGAGTGTGGATAGGTATGTAGCCTAAATTCTGGATAAACGGGTGAATTTTTCCAATTTTTTGCTTCATTTTAAGCAGTGGCAAATCACGAACAAGTTAAAATATTTTGAAAGTTGGTTCCTTGGGCGTGGATTATCAGAGACTACAATGCAACTTAGCCTGAATGTCACGAAAGGACAACTACAAATGTAGCACGATTGTGGCGTAATTTCACATCCTCAAATTTATCTCACCCTTAAATATCCCCCACAACACGTTGATATCTAAATTACAATCTACGCCTCCCTCTAATACACGCCCTCTCTATGGTTTCAAATTCCTCTCAAGAAAATCTTTAGCTAGACACAAATGTGTATAATGTCTATTTAACGGATACACAATTTGCTTTCGTAAAATACTGTGTCTTTCTCATATCCTCATTAACTTGTTTTAAGATAGCCCTTTTACACTTTTAAATCATTTATAAAGTTACACCGCGTTAAATTATTTTGAAATGCTTATAAATACCTCCTCAGATAATCTAAGTATGAGAAAAACACCTTAATATAAGGAAACAGTTCTCTATTTTTGAATTCAGCTATTATAGTGAGTACAAGACTGAAATAAAAGCAGCAAAATAATGTTTCTAGAATAAAAAAAACTTTGAATGTGAAAGTATGAACAACATTTGCATGCATGACAACATTAGCAGGAAAGTTTAAAAAATGAAAAATATTTGATACCATGTGCACAGAAAAGAAAATACAAATGTTGTATTCATGATGATCATGCTTTTAAATAATATAAAAACTTTCTTCTATCGCATGGCAGATGACATAACGGCGTGAAATTTATCCCTCAGCAACGAATATATATTTCATGAATACTTGCAAGTTAAGCCTTAGGAATAAATAGACAAGGGTGGTTGCCATTTTTTTCCTTTTCTATCATAGCATTTGTGCATGTTATGAATGTGTAAACAGACAGAATTCTGTATTCTGATGATGACAATGAATACTTATCTACAAGCTAACACGTTTATTTATCGACAATACATTGCATGTAATCAAATTTACCAGAACATTAAGTCGCTCTCTTACCTGAAAAGTTTCAGTAGCAAAATTAAATGAAATTCACAATGGTAGATATTTCGACGCCATGCAGACGTCGTTAGAGTCGAAACAGATGTGTATGCGAATGAAGGCAAACGTATGATATTAGAATTAATAGGAAACATCCAGCGAGTAATTACTGTCTTGCAAATTAAACCAGCCGCAGAAAACTGTGAAACAGGGGACATGTTTAACGGTCACTATACGTAAAATACAAAGAAAAAGTTTATGAGATTGAGTCATCTTGCAAGAAAAGTTTATATATCGTTACACGTTCACATGCAAAACAGTTGTAAATGTTTGTTTTAAAAGAAGTCTTAGAAAGGAAAAATTTCCATGCAGCTGTACATGCAAGAAAGTGATAAATTATAGCGTTAATATCTGCTGTAGCTACATTCTTTTATACATATGTATGAATAGTATAATTAGAATAGGGATGATATAAGAAGAAGGTCCATATGAGCTTAGTCAAGGGCAATGATGTTGGGTTAGCTCACAAGAAAAATCGACTTCAGCTGCTAAATTCTAAATTCCAAAGTTTATTGCTCTGGTAACATCGGAAATTGATGGACTTTACGAAGTTACTGTTATATGCAAATACAAATAAACTTTTGATATATAATGTTCATGATGAATTGCAGTTTGAAAAACATAGTTTGTTAATTCTTCTGGTTTATTTAGACCTGAATCACTCTTTTCAGGATTATTTTTTTTTCAAACATAAAATTACGAAATATTTACTTCTATAAAGTGCTGTGTGTCTTGAATGAAAATGTAATTAAAAATTCATCAAGTAAAAAAATGATTTATGTAAAATATCCTTGACAGGGACAAAACAATTCAAAGGGGTCAATAAATTCTACTGCTTCATAGATAAACAAAATCCCCCCCCCCCAAAAAAAACCAGCATTATGAAAGCCACTTTTAGTATATTAACAAACAAGATTTTGCGGCGAATAAAAAAGATAACATGTGCAAATATTTTTGAATCATAAATATTCGATTCCCAATTGCAACATTCAAGTTCTATTATTTATAAATAGATGTTTACTGTGGATTGACGCTTGTAACTCAAGACTTCTTGTTGTTGATGGTATTTTACAAATGTAATTTTTGAATGAAGTGAATGCAAGAATACTCTTTTTCATCTCTCTGAAGCACCATCAGGAATACTATAAAGGACAATGGAAGAAAGAACTTATCCAAAAAGAACAAACAAACAACAAAGCTGATAAAGAAAAAATGAAAGGACAGAAGCAAATGTTTGACTTTAAATTCAGCTATGATTTAACACACGTTCAGACTTCTGAATTACTTATGTCATGGAAGTAAACTTAAGCCATACATACTGTGTAAATAGCTACATTTCACATAATAGAAATGAGTAATGTTCATTACAGTAATGCTCACTACAAAATATTGGCAACTCTAGTTTTTTCACCATGGCAATCGAAAGCACAAAGTAAGTTGTAGCAACAAAAAAATTGGAATGCCAAGTCAAGTCTTCATGGCATATGTGGCATGTGCTATAAGGGAACCTTATAGGAAATAAGGTCTTAAAAAACGATGGTTTATAGGTTTAGATAGAAAACAAGGTTTAATAGAAGCAAAGTTTGTTATGAAACTTTTGCATTTATCAATACTATGATATATTTGTTTTTAATGAAGCGGTGTTAATGTAAATGGCTTGTAGGTAATGCAGGATTTATGTTGGTAATTTATTTAATACAAACAAATATCGCTTTGAGCACTGACTTAGTTTGCAAAAGCTTCACTTTCAACTTCTTCATCAATCAAAACTTTTGTACAAATGACAATGAATTAGTTTGCTAGAGCTCCATTTTGAACTTCTTCAACAATCAAAACTTGTGCACAAGTTATAAATATATCAGTGTTCTTATATCAGCCATGAAATTGGTATCTATATTTCATCATCACATGGTGATAACGGGTTTTTTGCTGCAATTCTGGCATCCAACTCAGATTGAAGTCTTAAGGTAAAATATATTTTAGCTTGTGCTGTGTTCTACTCTATCCTTTGATGTACAGATTTGTATGGAAAATAGTTATGTATTGTATAAATATGAGGCCCTCATAACAGTAACATGGGTAGTTCGTTATTCTGAGAACCAAGGGTTATATGTTCTATATGTAAAATATTTTTCTGGAATTCTTATCCATGCAAGGTCTGTGTAGACAGACAATCATGCGATGCAGCACAGTCATTTACGATCATTATATTCCCAAATTTTTCATCAATTTTCAGTTAAGAATCCTTTACCTTTTTAGAATAAGTTGTTCTCCCAATTTGCGAATAAAGTTTCATAACGTTACGAAGCCAAAATAACAGAAAATTTTTGTCCAAAATATTCACCTTATCCTTCTATAGTTGTGAGTCAAGAAAATTTTTCCGGTCAGAAAAGCGTAAAAATCAAAATATTTCAAAAACAATTATTCAGTAATACAAATCGTGGAAAAGTAGTCCCCCATATTGACTTGATTGATTGACTTCCGGCGTCAATTTTTACATTTATTTCATGGCAAATTACGTAATTTTTGTCTGAAGAATGATAAATGATGAATTCCAAATGAAAACATTCAAACTAACTTACATTCATGGAAACAATTTATAGTGAAGTTAGCTTATTATGTTTGAGCACAACGCATACTTGAGTTTGATTGGTTCTTGCAGCCTAAGGAATAAAAAATAGCTCTTTATTGAAATCAAGTCTTTGTTTGTGTGTGTGAAATCCAGGAGTGCGTAAAATTGAAAGCGAGATCCTGTATTGTATGCCTCCTAATTATAGAACAAACAGAACAGCGCATAATAAGGTGTTCAATGGAGAGTACTTTTTTGGGGTATACAATTAAAGAACATTTTATTAATGCTATTGTGAGCTGCTGTCGGCTTGGGAAAACGTTATTATTTGCATGGTTAATCCCAATTCAATTACATCACTGTTGTTGGCCACCTGGCCATATTAGCTACTTAGTTAGCCACTTTGAAGAAAATGGACAAAATAAAATCCTATTTAGAATTGCTCATTGCTCAATCGATATGCGTTAACACCAATTTTAGATGTAAATGGTGGTAGGAGGGAAATATACAGGATAAACAGAGTCCTGTAATGTAAATTTTAGAGCATTATCAATATTCATATGTTAAGAAATCTATTGTTTTCACAGTAAATGTGAACACAGAAAAATATAGCGCATGTACTTCACTGCATAAAAGCATTCCTCATTATAGTGACTCATATTATGCATGACTCGACATGACCATATAAATTTATTCATAATATAATTCCTTCGAGAGGGTAAAATTAATTCAACTTTGTGCTCGACGGTTAACATCATCCAAATTACTATCATTGCCATATCGATTAAAGCATTTAAAGAACTTTTTATATCCTGCTGACCATTTTGAATTGTAAATTTTGAGATTGTGAATAGGGAATACGTAATATTCTCTCTGAAAATAATAAAGCAGGACACTGAGGCAGGTACTGTAAACGTTGTGGTGCACGTGTGTCTTATATTCAAGTGAACGATGAACGTTTGAATAATTAATTATTTTACAAAACAACGAAGCGATTTTATAGTCTAGCCTAGAGTCTAGATGGCACCAAACCTTGTGTTTATGCGTTTGATTTTTATAGTATGGTTAAGTACAAGTTTTGTACATTTGGTACTGTTATTTTATATGCAGCGCCCAAATTATGTTTAAATTTTGCATATATGCTAACAAAGTCGTGAAAACTGACATGTTTTATGTTTTACTGGGGGTATTTGCCAACGACGATTTACTGAAATCCATACAAACCTATTTTAAAACAATTTTTGTTATAGTCATGGTATAATACCTATACAGTGCTATAGTCCTACTAGATCTATGATTTCGTCATTTGCTTGTGATCAAAAACACTTTTTAGCCTACCATTTTTTGTATTTATTTAAATCTGATTCTAAGAAAGCTACAATTACCTTTTCACTTCTTCACAGGAATATCGTTTTTTCAATTTTAGGTTTTAGCCAATCAGAGCTTAAAAAATCCTTATCCAATAACAGCATTGAACCAACTCACGTGACTCAAACAAGTAAAACTGGTAAAAACCACTTTTCCTTGTTCGGAAACAGAGGTTCAAGATTAGATGTGATAAACGCCCGTTTTGGAAAGGTAAGTTGATAAAATTTGTATGAATAATACGCAAATTCCGATAAATTTGACTACTGAAACATTATGTAGCCTTTGGTTAGTTATTACTTCACTTTTTAACCATTTTTGGGTTGTTTAAATCGTTCGGCAATTGATGTATGTCACTGTGTTTGCTTTGCACGCGGACTTCGCTGCCATAAAAATGAGAATTTACGATGTTTTTTTCATTTTTCAAAGTAATTTTTAAGGTTTATTTGCCTCGGTCGTTTTTTGTTAGTGTGTTGAACTTATCTAAGCAAAATTTTGTGAAACAGTTTGCTTTCAACTCGAATTTGCGAATCGAAATTTTTCCAGTTGCGTGCTTGTACAACGACATCATTTCTTTTAATACGACAAATAAAATATTTTTTGTGAAATCTTATAGGATAGCAAAGAGTGGGATAGTGACCGCAAACAATGTTTTTATGTTTAGGTAGTTTCTATTCGTAAAGACTGAACTTTTGAACGAAATTTTGAAGATGGTCAAGGAATATAAAAATGTAGATGTCTAACATAGTTTCATTTCGCGCCACTTTCTTCAACTTGATAATTAAAATTATTCCGGCAAAAGCCGATGTCAATCCGAAGAATTTTAAAGACCAATTCATTCATTATATTAACTTAACTGCATTACTGTATTTCAGAATAAAAAAACATTGACTTAGTTTAACTGATTTTTATTTTTCAAAAAGAACTCGTTCGTAAAATTTGGATCCTTTGCTTGACTTATAATTGCACCTTTAATGTATTATTTTGTTTACTTTTAGCGTAATATTTTACTGTTTATTGTTTAGTACAAGATCTAGTCTTCATTGTCATTTGACAATAGTAAAGAAATAAATCAATAACGTCCCTTTCAACGCAAATAACAGTATCTTCAAAATGAAACAGTACTCAAAAAAATCGATCAGAGAAAAGGTAATCAAAAATTACGGGAACATCCTGATTCGAGCATTAAAATTTTGGGGTTTAAAAGGTAGTTTTTTTAAGCCAGAAAATTTCAAAGAAATAATTCTGTTCTCTTTTCTACAAGAAAATTTTAAAAGATGTTTCTTTTTTGTGAAAATGTTGTTAACTTATCAATTTCAAATTTATTTTTTGTAGGAAAGAGGCTAAATTTCTATTACCTTGATAACGATGAACGTGAACAAAGAAACATCTTTTGGTTGAGTTAGAAAGTCAAAATCTCTAACGAACATCACATAGACATATTGAATCGAATTATCTTATAGAAAAGGTATAAGTGAAATTTGAATGAAGCTTATATGGTAGGCTAATTTTGTGTTGGGATGTTTGTTCTTTTCAAACTTATTCAAACGATGTCAGTCATGATAAAAACTCATTTTGTTTATTACATTGATAGGAACATAATTTGAAAGGGGAATTCAAACTGAGAGTATTTTTGTGATTTACTTGTGCGCACATTCATAACTGTTCATTACACTGCGGAAAAAATGCATGATAAATTTTTATACTGCTAAAATTAATACGATTTTACTAAGTGGTATCAAATACAAAAGTAACCCCATTCAGTAAGATGCGTACATTAGCCACCAGAAGCCTTCTTTTGCCTACAATTTTCGTATTAAACGCCACATGATTTGACAAAAATCAGCATCTCAACTATTATTGTAAAAATCAGTATACGAAATCTTCACGAAATTGAAAGATCAAGAGAGAAACATTTGAGGAAATCACTTCATGAAACGCAAACTAAATACAGAACCAAAAGAAAAGAATACAGGAAAGATTTGTCGTTACTGACACAGTGGGAGAATCACTAGTAGAACCAAAGAGAGCCTTGAGTGACTTAAGTTTTTACCTGTGAGGAAAGTTTCACGCCACAAATTAAATTCCTCAAGTTTGGCAACTTCTGGTTGTTGCAACAGGCGCCTTCAACTGCTTGGGTGCTTCATTGATTCCGCATGCACGGGCGTCTTCTTTTGGGTTGCTCTTCTCTTCTTGAAAGCGCAGGGTCTTCAGGTGTTTCGGTTGCTCATATCTTCTTGCAAGAGCGGCGTCTTCAGGTGTTTCGGTTGCTCATCTCTTTTGCAAGCGAGGCGTCTTCAGGTGTTTTGGTTGCTCATCTCTTCTTGTAAGTGCGGCGTCTTCAGGTGCATCTTATCTTTTTCTTAGATAACTGTCAGCCGTTAGGTTAACAATTAAGTGAAGAAAGTAAGATGAAATGATGCAAGACAAACGTCTTTTCATGCAGTTTTGCATTAAATAATGGGTCAAATAACAAGAAATGTGGACAAAAGCAAGAACCTACACGTAGATGACAATGGTATTCTTGTGAAGAGTAACTATAATAAGATGAAATGATGCAAGAAAAAATTTCATGAACATTTCACTCACCAAGTGTAAATATATTAATATTGTAAATATAATAAAACTAGCATGACGTTTTCCCTGAAGGCTTCTTAAGGCCAATATAACAACTTTCGATTTTATATTTATTTTTATTTTTTGTGGATTAAAACGTACATGTGATTTCAAAAAAGTGCGCACAAGTAAATTGCTAAAAATGCTGCAGTTGGCGCACCATGAAAGATGAATGTCTTGAGCAAAAATAACATTGCTGAAGGAATTGACATTGAAGTAAACTTGATTCTGTGTCACCTCGATTGCAGTAGTATGAATATTTTGTCAATGAAATCATCGTACACATAAGAATTAAAGTTGTGCAAAAATAACTCACCTGAACAGGTTTTTTGATGAGGTATGGTGCGTCGTTTAATTGTGGACCATGTTTGTGTCTAACTCTATTCTGGAGATGAATTTCAAGTAGGACAAAAAAGTAAAAATCTGGAACGGTGCACGAACTTGACATTAAAATGAACTAATACTGGGCCACATAAGTTGCATTTAAAAAGAAGCATACGGTTAAAACCGTGCAGTTAAATATGTCATGCGCACAAACAGTTGATACCTGTAAAACTCACTCAAACGTAGTATTGAGTAATGGTGCTTCATTTAATGGTTGACCACAGCATTACATTTGTGTCTAATTATACCATGGCAACGCTAAAAGTGGATCACAATTTTCAGCAACGAATTGGAAGAAACTGGACAAGTTTTAGTTTTGAAGTAAACGTAACCATCCAGCAATCATATTACTCACTACGATGCAGCGCAAATATTTTGGTGAGTGATAATTCATACGTTGAAATGCGATGTTTGCCGTTTGGTAGCTTTGTCACTTCCACGTAGTGATTGTTTGCCAGGCTACAAAGCTATGTTGCTACGTCGTTTCAGCCTTGCCAGTTTTTGATATTTTAATTTTATTCTTTTTTTTAATAAATTTACTCTTCATAAAATGAAGCACTTTAACACTGCGGAACGTTTTAAAAGAGCAGTTGTTTGCTTACGGCAACAAAGCTATAGGTATTAATATTTTTCATAAATAGGTACTGTCAGTTTAGCCATTTGTTGTTTCTCTATGCAATACTTCAATTCTTCGAAAATCAAAGCATAGTATTTATTAAATATTGGTAATGGCTTGTTTTTGCTTTTAGTCCTCTTAGAACACAAAATAATTTAAGATTATGTAGGATTTTTAAAAACAATCATCAACAGTATAAATGGCGTTTGGTGAAAGATGCCTTTTTTGTTTTATTTTGAATAGTTATCGTAATGCTGTCTGAATTAAAACTTTCACTATCCTTTAGTTCCTAAAAAAATACGACAGTCGTTCGTGCATCAAATCAAACACGCTGATCGTTGATCTTGGATGTTATATTATGGATGTACTCAATTACACCCTGGTGTCCTTTAATTGCGTCATGAGTATCGTGGACTATATCATGGTTTTCGTGGATTATATCGTGGTTTATCATCGATTATATCGTGGTTGTCATGGATTATGTAAAAGCAGCTTTTGGTATGTCAGCGATGTTCAACGAATGAGGAGACGACGTTTCAGGTGCAATGGTTTTAATTGTATCAGTTAGACTCCCAGTGATCAACATTAACAAGAGGATTGTTTAAAGCAATGACTGAGTTGTGAAACAAAGTCAATTGCTTTATGATCCCTGTTAGTGATTTGCATGTTTGATTGTGTCGTCAAGACAATTCAGTGAGTGATTGTGCATGAAAACTTTTCTGCATGAAGATTTGTTTTTCGGATGTTAGAATAGGAAAAGCATGAATATGCGTCTTACTATTGTCTGATAGGTCGGAACAGTGCGCATATGCCCACAGTAGGCTTTTTTGCGCGATTTTTGCCTAAAACCTGCTCTACATCTGATCACCAGGATATAGCTACGACTCGCATCTTAAAGAAATGTGCATGGCTTTCTTTAAGACTGTGTCGAACGCTTTAAGTTTCTAAATTTATATAACAAACATCATTAATACTTTAAATGATATATTATAAACGTTACTGTAGATTGTTCAAAACATGGAGGATATATCGTAGATTGTTCAAAACATGGAGGATATATCGTAGATTGTTCAAAACATGGAGGATATATCGTAGATTGTTCAAAACATGGAGGATATATCGTAGATTGTTCAAAACATGGAGGAGATATCGTTAATTGTTCAAAACATGGAGGATATATCGGAAATCGGAATCCGGCCCTAATCATTGCAATCGCGCCTTTCTGTATAGCTGCGTAATTGAATTAACTTTAAAATCTAAAATTTAACGTCTGAAATATTCTTCTTGATGGCGCACATTTCATTTCTTGATGTTTTATCAAATTTGAACCATGCACATAATAAAAAAGAGTTTGAAATTGTTAAGAGAAAACTATTTCTCCATGAGATTATAAAATGTCAAAAGTTTCAGATTCAGAGAATTAACCATCATGAGGAATATTTTTTGTCATCTGCATAGTTGCATGCGCATACAAAACACGCTAAAGCTAGAAACGGCACAAAATTGGCGAATGGGAACATTGTCTGACATCAAACAATTTCCTTTGGGTGTATGCTGCTTTTGATAAACCTATTTAGGAAATCTTGTAAAATAATAAGCAGGCTAAATATTTTTGTACACACAATTAAGACCCTAAAGTGAATTAAAAGCTTTCTGTAAAAATAGCGGTAAGAAATAGATAAGGTTATTCTGGCAGTATGCATTCACCTAGATGTCAGACAGGCTTTCATAGCTCATTTGATGTCTGAGGGTTTTCCTCCAGCAAAACGTTGGCAATTGTTCAATACGCTGGTTTCCCTCATCTTTAGAGAGTTTCTCTGAAGGCCACAAAAAAAATGGTGGCCATGTTCTGGGACCTAAGGGTTGTATGGTTATCGGGTTGGAATCCCGATCCACTCAAAGAAATGAAACTTGGGATGTTTTGATAAAATTGATGTACTTAAATACTTAAAAATTTTGTGTGTTCAACATTTCAGTACCCTTTTTTTTAAATGCTGAATTAAATAACTAGGCATTTAACGGTCAATTTATCTTCATTCTGGTTATACTGACTGGTCTTGTTTTAAGATTGTGTGCTGCTGAAAAATGAAGAACAATGCTGAGTGTTTATGATTTTTGTATAATTGTGTAATTATGAAGCAATCAAAATTAGATGCAGCAATTAATTTATCAAGATCGTTCATTTGTTTTTAAACCATTCTAATATGGCTGTTAATCCAAGGTAGAAAATTTGAAACTTTTGTGTATACACCATATCTGTTCTTTGTGCCACACGACTCACCCCAGCTGACAATTCCAATCAATACGTGTTTTTTTGTGCCTTTGTTTACCACTGTCAGTGGTCCCCCTGAGTCTCCACGACAAGCATCGCCTTTACCATTCAGCAAACCCGCACATAACATATTAGAAGTCACCACGTATTTTGGAGCATGATTTGCCTTGCAGGTCTTGTCGTCCACAGTTTTAATTGTCACCGCGTGTAAAGTTTTTACCGAGCGTGTCTTGTTTGTTTTTCTTGCACCCCATCCGCTCACTTTTGCCGTATTGTTTGCTTGAATAAGCGCAAGGTCTGCTGCAGACGTGGGTAGGCAAACAGGAATGACGTAGTCATTTAAAATAACTTGTTTTGAGAATTTAAATAACGCAATGTCTGAATCATAGGTTAAAGGGTTGTAGTGAACGTTCAAATGAACTTTATCGATTGATCGATATTGTTCAGTACCATCATTTTTGTGCCAACGGTACTCTCCAAATATTACAGCTACGCGGTCCAAGTTTGAGGCCATTGGCTCTAAATATTAAAACGTTCATTAGCTTTAATAAATTAGAATAATGCAACAGGTATATAAAGTGTGAATAATATCGAAGACGTAACTGGGACATAGAAATTCTATAAATGGTTTTAAGTTCGACAGACAGTTACTATGAGGATAAAAAATCTTTAACTAAATATGGTTGGTAAAAATAGTAGATCTTTCTGAAAAAGATTACGAAGAATGTCATCCATAGAATTCCCAAAGACGATGTACAAAACAAGTTGTTAAAGGTATAGTGTATACAACAAAAACAATGCTTGTGAAGACTAATGAAAATGGTTCGAACATACGAAGACAATGTGCAGCTGTAACTCCCCATCTTTCGTTAAGCAAAACAGCTCCACAAAATGGCTTTTTAGTAGCATTGTTGAACAGCAAAATTTGCCAAGGAATGGTACCATGATCGGCTCGTTTTCCACCAATAATTTTGGCCCGAGCAGATAACCTTGCTTTACCACAAGCTAAATGTAGACGAATAAAATGCAAAACAAGATATGACTAGACAAATTTCCAAAGGAATGTACGTTAATTTTAATTTTTAACTGCTCCTAATGCATCGATAGTTATATCTCGATGTTTTTTATAATACTCACGAATTTGTCTTTGTCTAACAGTCAAATACATCGATGCACGTACTGTACCACCAGAATTTTTCGCTTCGCAGGTGTATTTACCAGCATCATCCAACAAAACATTGAGTATCTGCAAATAGTTCGTCACTTGATCCGTGTAGTAACGTTGGGATACTGAAAGAATCTTATCATCCTTGTACCAGGTGATTGTCGTTTTCTCACCCGAACTTGATTCCGCTGAACATTCGATGCTCAAATGATAAGATACGTCAGTTGTCTTGTTTTTAGGCAGTCTTGTAAATACAGGCAGAGCTAAAATAGGCGTTGTCCAATAATCATTTGTAATTTTCAAATAGAAACGTTTTCAAACAGCGTGTTGACTAAAACGAAAAAAGCTTACCTTTACATTGAGTAGTTTTGCCACTCCATTTACCTGTGGGTAAACAAAGCCTCGATTTCGATCCGAGATGAACAAATCCAAGATTGCAAGTCAGATTAATCTGATCACCGATATTGTATTCGTTGCCTGATATTGGAGGTGGTGGATTACGGGTACCGGATAACGGCACTCCTGGATCACGACAAAACGTTGCTACCAAATGAAAAAGGGCAAGAGATAAAACAGGTACTCACAAAACTTGAGCAAAGACGAATGATAACTGTCGTAAAGGATAAAAAATACAACCTTTTAGTATATCATATACTTGTAGCATAAAAGGTTTTTTCAATCCAGAAATGACATCTTCTGTTTTCGAATTGAGTTTGTTGTACGAACGGATATGGCCTGACCAGTCAGTCCAGAAAAGTCTAAAAAATAACCACAAATGATAAATTTAATATTTTATATAATTTACATAAATAAGGCTTTGTATCATCAATCGATTTACGGTAAAAATTGTTTACCTATTTTTAGCCATTCCCAAACCATAAGGATGATTTGTGCCCTTGGTTGTTAAAGTCATACGATTATTTCCCTGTTCGAAAGCAAGAAGGAAAAATTTAATGACACAAAAAAGCTTGCTTTTAACTTAGTAGCGAATCAGTTCTATTCTTCAATGAAAATCAAAGGATACCAATCAAAGATAGAGCTCAGCATAAGGCATCAAGTTATTAGTTTCATTATTAGGTATTAACTTCAACAAATCTGATTGAAATCAAAACATTTGAATCGACATATAGCAACTTACATAGAAGTCCGACATCTCTATCTTATCAAAATGAGCATCGGCCCAGTACAGATTTTTTCCATCATGCGTCAAGCCATTTGGCCATATCAATCCATATTGAACGAGAATCTTGCGACCTGTCCCGTCAATATTTATTCTTTCAATCTTTGCTACCATCCCCCAATTGGTCCAGAACAACCATCTGCATGATTAATTGCATTGGGAACAATATCATCGAAGCAAATATATTATTGTTTTTCACTTTTTCTCACAAGATGTTAAGCAATAATGGGAAGTTTTCATAATATTTCATATAGAAAAGATCATTGCATACATATTGGCTTGTATTCTGAAAACAACATACACACTTACTTGTATTCTTGATGTATCAACAAGGCTCGTGGTTTGTCAACACCAACAATAAAGGATTCAATATTTGAACCATCCAAGAATGAACGAAATATTTTATTCAGTGTACCATCAGCCCAGTAAAGCTGATTTGTTGCAGGATCTACGACCATTCCATCTGGTAAAACAACTCTATTACTATGGACAAGAAAATATTAAAGGAAGTTAGTTTTTCAATCAATCAGTCAAAGAGAATTTACAAATCGATTATGAATACATTTTAGGGGAAAAATTAAAACGTTTACTTTAAATTTGTCTGTCTGTTTCGCATTATTGTTATTTTATAAAAGAAATAAAAGATGTTTTTCGTGTTTGCACTGGCTTATGCAAACCTCGAAGACGTTTGTGAAAACTCTCGAGCCACGAGCAGGTGTAACACTCGACCATCGGTCTCGGGCTTGTACTGATCTGCTCTCGAGTTCTCCCAAATGTCTCCTCGGTTTGCATAAGCCTGTGCAAACACAGTAAACATCTTTTATTTCTTAATTGAAATACCAACCAGGAAACTAACACGATAATTACTTTCTCTACAAGAGTAAAACGTTCTATTGTTTAAATGAATCGGTACTCAGAAGCTACAAAATTTATATTAACTGACCGCACATACCATGGTGGATATCATAGGAATTGAAAAATAAGAAAGGGTAAGATTAAGTCATTTTGCAATGTGATTATCAACAATTGTGAAGGTTTCTGTTGATCGTCATAAAAGATACTATTGTATGTTAAGGTAGCAGAAGTGGTATATTAAGCGATATATACACGAGGTTCTGATGATTTCTCCATGATTTTGAAAAATTTGATTTCACACTGATGTTTAGGTTAAGATTTCAGTGGTAGTTTTTGTTTCCAAACGAGAAACAAGATATTAGAATTTAGTCAGTCTCTGTTTGCACTTATATAAGTAGATATTTTAAATTCACAACAACTGTCGCTTACTTAACAATGGCTTGTTTATTTGTGCCATCCAAATGTGCCTTGTATATTTTGCGATCGCGAGCGTCACCCCAGTAAATAAATCTGTCTTTCTCGTTGTAAAAGAACGCAATGATTTCATTGCCTGCAATTGGTATACGAGAAATCGACACTCGTCTTTCCTTGTAGTACACACTTATGGACCGAATTCCTTTTGAAAATGAGTAAAGTAACGACACGTCTGGCTTTGCAGCTGGTAAAATAAAAACAAAAAGTTTTAATGGTGTTTGGGGGATTTTTCCATGAATATGATACGGCATGTTGTAATTATGAGATAATGATGTAGCTTTTGCAAAGCAGTCACCTGTAACAAACTACCCTAGATACAGTTCGGGCGATGCTGCTTGCAGTCAAAAACCAGTTGATAAGTGCAGATTGGTGCAAATATACAGTGAAACAACATATGCTCTTGATAGAATAAATATTTCAATGTACCTGTGGTAAAACATTTCATTCCATTGGAAGCAAGTGTGAAGGACTGAGGACAAGTACACAATCTTCCATTTAAGAGAGTCGTGCAAGTATGACTACAGCCACCGTTGTCTTTTAGGCAACTTTGTTGATGGTTAACTGCTACAAAAAAAGGGGTGAAAATTGAATTGAAATGATGTTTTTTGTGAAAAGTTGGTTTTTGAGAGGCACCCTTAAATATCAGGTTGATATTTGTATTTTTTATATAAAATTCAAGGTAACACCACAAAGAAAGAATTAACAAAAAGAAACGAGCTAGTCTTTCAATTATCCAAAGGTTACTTGGGTACATTGACGGCTTGATTAATTTTTTTCGTGAAAATGTTCAATAGATCTTACCATAATATGGAGTACGTGATACACATACATCTTTCATAGCACATCGATCACTGCTCTTACACCCTCCCTTGCAGGTAGATTGTGATGCTGGAGCAACGTGTGTCATAAACAGGACACGTGTACCGAGAACAAATTGCTGATATAAAACCAGAGCTTGCTTCTGACGAGAGTTATACAAAGCTATGGCAGATCGTTGAGCACCAGGACGTAAACTACTTTCTACGGAAAAGGCACCATCTTTGAGAAGATAACCGCTAAGTTTGTTTGCTCGTTCCCAAAGCATCACGGGACCGTTGTTCTTTGGCATGTAACAAACTGCAGGATTTATATTATTCTTGTACTGCGGGCACTTGTGTATATTCGCTTCCCTTCCAAATTTTCCAGGAAAGCCAACAATAGAAGTTGATGTAATTACTCTACTTCCGTTCTCACGATTGTTCCAGAATAATGTAAGCCTGAAATATTAGATATTCAAATGCGATAAACGAGCAGGAGAATGAGAATAACAAAGCGAGGAATGTTTTTGATCAATCATATTGTATACATGTACTTCACCTACCATCCGTTATTGTGGTCGAAATATCCATCCATGTTTGCAACTTGTTCTCTCGTGTAACCGACCACATATCGGATGGTATTTTGAGACCCCATAAACAACAAATTTCCTGTTGAATTGGCCTTTGTAACCAGAAAGACAAATGGATAGTGTTGAAGTGGGCTACTTGAGTCAACCAAGGTTATAGCATGTTGGCGGACTTGATAGACAATGTAGATTTGGCTGAGTTTTGTGTCCACAAAGATATTGGAGTCGAGTACCTCGCCTTTGAAGAGTCGTGTTTGTCTAGAAATCTTACCATTAGACATTAGAAAAACTACAAACACAGTCTTAGGCGGTGCATCCAGCATCACTGTCATGACATAACCAGCTAGAAAATACACGCAATATAATGGTAATAAAAGTCGTGTTGTGGTGGATGATCAGCAAATTAGGAAATTAAAAGTAGCTCAAGATTTAGGAGCTGTGTTTGTTAGTTGTTAACCGGTACACCCGAACGATTTTACGACCTAGCTGGCGACGAAAAGTGGTAGTCAGCCTCACGGAACTGTTATGTCCAAATTTAAAAATTGCGGTGCAACTTAAAATAAATAATTTTATGAGTCACGATAATACTTGCCTGATCCCGAATTATACACGAGCTTCGGTTCAACAACAGGTCGAAATCGACCTGTCAATTTAGCATTCAAGAGCAAGAACGGGTTGCCTTTTGTGAAAGACCTATCTCCAAACACTCGTTGTGCGATTAAAACATGAGCACCACCTTGGAGATTTCTTGAACTTAAATGCCACACCACAAGATATTCGTTGACCAGTGGATTGAATGCTACTGACGGATGCCCTTGCTCAGCTGAGAAAGAATGAAATATGTTTTAGCCATACCGCTACACACTTAAAACACTTATAATTAGAACATAAGAGCAGCCCGAACATGCTTTGCGCATATACATTGCTGTTGTTTTGGAGCATCATGCTGTTGTTTTGGAGCATATTGTTTGGAGCATCAACTAATGAGCAATGTGAGCTTAATGTTTCATATAGAGAATTCTATGACTTACTCGAAGCACCACGTAGTGTAAAATCTATTATCCTTTGACCAAGAATTTGACCATTAATATTGATGCGTATTCCATAAACACGATCGGCCACTTCGTCATTATCTTGATCGACATCGAAAACAACGAAATACTCATTGCGAAAACTATTATACGCAACACTATGATAGATAACATTTCCCTTTATCATGTTTGGGACTATTCGAGCTGGACTCGGACGAAGACTTTGAAACATTCCAATAAATGTTATCTATACGACACAAAAAACTTCATCTTAACAGTTGAAATTCATAATAAATTTACGTTTGATGGGTAAATAGAAAGAAAAAATGTACATGATAGACTCATTGGACATATTGTTGAATTTGTGATAAGTGGTCGAGAGCTTCAAGACGATGTAGGAAGAAATGTTTTGTGGAAGAACATCCTACCTCATTTTGAACGATCAAACAAACAAAATCAATTTATTTCCCAAGAAACAAGTCCCAAATTTGAACAAACCTGTTTAGGCGTAACAAATTGTGTCTCATTCCCATTTTCATTCACAATCGTGATGGCATAATAAAGTGTCATTCCACTTGGCGGTATCTTGTCAAACCATTTCTGAAGTTGTACATTTTGAAGATCAGGAAGTGTTTTTCCAGATGCTATTGGTGTGAGTCCGGCAACACTCATAAAATAGTTTAATTCACGATAAATGTTGTAATATTTAAACTCTGAGTTGCTGGTGTGAAAGGACGAGCTGAAAAAAGGAGAGGAGTGGTATGTTAAAGTTGATGATAAAGAGGGCGCATAAAAAATAGATTGGTTCGTAAGTACGAAGACTTTCTTCATGAACATTATGTATGTGATTACCTGTAAGGAATATTGGGAGGGACCCATCGCAATACTATGCTATTGCACTCTTGAGACAAAAGTAACTCAATATGGTTCGTGTTCTGGACCTGGCGCTTACGTCTGGTTGACGAATCCTTTGCACTAAAAAAGCTTGCTTCCTCAATGCTTGCAAATGTTCCGATGTCATGAAATTCTATAAATAATTCAACGCATTGTGCGTGATTTCAAAACACATGAACACATTAGCTAATATCCAAGTGGTTCTTCAAATTAACCTTCATCGATTGCCATCTAACTGCTATCATCATGTGCCCTCTTATCTACGTATGAAAATTTTCTAATGCTAACTTTATGAAAATTTCCAAAGTAGTCTTACCATTCAATTCGACTTCACCTGCGTTAACGCGAAGTACTTCTTCATTTCTCTGTACTATAAGTTCAGCATCACAAAAACTTAACACTACAATAAAAGGTCGATGCAACCTGTTACATGTTTATGCCATTAACTTTCCGCGCAGTGTAATAGTTTTTTAATAAGAAATTGGCGCGAATTTAAACAACAAACTAGTTAGCTTTTCCCAACGATGTGTCTTTTGGAAGACTTCGCACAATATAGTCTTGTTTTGCAAAAGTCAACTGTTAAACTAAACTGTTTGCAGTTAATGTTATGTAGATGATACTTACAAACACAATTGTGGTGGTTGTGCTGCACAGCATTAGCGTGATCTTATATCAAAGTAACATTTATGCTTTATTCCAACATACCTGATATCAGTAAAATTGACAACACCGAGTAGAACATCATTCTGCTGTGATCTTGTTTGTTGATAAAATAAGAGCGTCAGAATTCTGCTTATGTATGTGATGCCAAGACAATATGAAGGAAGTTGAACTGAAACGGAAGATATAATTGCGCAATTTATGCGAATTTATTTGATAGCAAAAATGTCAATGTCAATCTACTTTATATGTGTTGAAACGTTCGCACAGCACATTATAAAACTGACTGATGTACAACTACAAATTATTTGAGAAAACTGATAATCAATATCTTAAAAAAATTGTTAAAGCCTTGCAAAGAAAAGAGTATAAACATGAACTGGTTTTACAATAAGGCTTAAACAGAAGTGGTCCAAATTTTTAAATCTCAACAGGACATCATGCTTGTGTACTGGATGTAATTCAAGACTACTCGATGTAATTTAAAACTAGATGCAAGTCAAGAAAAAGGATATGTAACTGAGTAAATTGACCATACAAGAGCTAACATCTGTCTATATTGCAGTTTACGCGAAATATTGGTTGAAAAATTTGGGCGCTAAAGATGTCTTAAGAATTGATCAACTTGTACCATTTTTCGACAATTCCCGAAAATCTAGCACGAATGCATTTGTGCGTGGTTGAGAGAATAATGATTTGTAAGGCAACCTTTTCTTTTTGCCCCAGATTCATCAACTTATTATTTTATAAAAAAACCAGTGACATTAAATTTTTTGAGGTACGACTTTCGCCACTGGCATATTACATTTTGTTCAGTGTTGTTGGTGCAAGAGGTTTGTCCAAATCGTGCAAAATATACCGCCGTTTGAAATTGGTCACCATCAGAATATTGTCCTAGTATTTACCACTTGTGAGTTCTCTGAAATTGCTGTCTTGTGTAATCTTTTGCGATAGAGGATATAGAGAGGATAGAGAATTTAGTGACAAAATTTAGTTCGTCAAGTTGAATTTGTTCGAAAATAAAGACTTTTTGCTTATCATTATACACTGTCTTTACTTTCCATGATGAAAAGTTCGTGACCTTTCTATGAAGGGTTCGTGCTTATTATAAACAACTCTTCAGCAATTGTCAAAGTGAAAGAAGAATTTAATAATTATGATGTAAATTTATTCATTAAGTCTAAGAATTTATAATTATGATGTAAATTTATTCATCTCTGTCATTAAAACTAGGTAAAGGATCAAAAATGACGTAATTAAATGCCTCCCAACAAGGGAACCAACATTGAACCTCTACAGTCTTCATTTTAATTCAGTAGATTAATAAAACTGGCTGCAGCCATTGACGAAGGCTATAACGTCGAAGACTTTGAAAGCGATGTAAGCGATCACTATCTCTGCGCTATATGTTTGAACGTGTTTAAAGATCCAGTGCAATGTCAACGCAATGAACATATATTTTGTCGGGTTTGTATTACGAAGCACTTAGCGTATTCACAAACTTGTCCGACTTGTCAGGAAGAGCTCACGAAGGATACGCTTGACAAAGTACCACGTTTCGTGACTAATTGTTTGTCAGAGTTGAAGATTCGCTGCAAGTTTTTTGAGAGAGGATGTAGCTTCATCGAATTAGGAAAACTTGAAAAGCACGAGAAAGACTGTCTATATGCTCCAGTGTTATGCAAATACGAAGCGTGCCGGGCGGAAGTGAACAAATGCGATTTAATACACCACGAAACAGAATTGTGCAAATTTCGCATTATCAACAACGTCAAATCTGGTGGAATTACAAAAGCGCTTAAAAATTGCAATCTTAACGAAGTAACTGCTGCTGAACGAAACGTCCTCAGTGAATCATGCGCTTCTTCTGAAGAGAGAGAAACATCGGCAGGTCACAGTAAACAATATCATCATCACAATCGGCCAGTATTTATAGCAGATGATGAGCAGGCTTGCAACATCGATCTACGTGATCCTGCCATTATTGAACGTGCGTATGATGAAGGTCAACGTGCAAACGATGAAGATGTGTTTAGTTGCAATCCTTCTAATCTAGCCGGTAATGAAGATGCGTCTAATTACGATTTACCTGGTCAAGCAGATTATGAAGATGCATATGATAACGATCTACCAGATCCAGTAAATGATGTAGATGCATATGATTACGATGTACCAGATCCAGCAGATGATGAAGATGCATATGATTACGATGTACCAGATCCAGCAGATGATGAAGATGCATATGATTACGATGTACCAGATCCAGCAGATGATGAAGATGCATATGATTACGATGTACCAGATCCAGCAGATGATGAAGATGCATATGATTACGATGTACCAGATCCAGCAGATGATGAAGATGCATATGATTACGATGTACCAGATCCAGCAGATGATGAAGATGCATATGATCACGATGTACCAGATCCAGCAGATGATGAAGATGCATATGATTACGACTACGATCTACCTGATCTAGCAGATGATGAAGCACGATCTGATCCAGCAGATGATGAAGGTGCATGATTACGACTACGATCTACCTGATCCAGCAGATGATGAAAATGCGTATGATTACGACTACGATCTACCTGATCCAGCAGATGATGAAGGTGCACATGATTACGACTATGATTTACCTGATCCAGCAGATGATGAAGGTGCGCATGATTACGACCACGATTTACCTGATCCAGCAGATGATGAGGATGCATATGATTACGACTACGATCTACCTGATCCAGCAGATGATGAAGATGCACATGATCACGATTACGATCTAGCTGATCCAGAGGATAATGATGTATATGATTACGATCCACCTGATCTAGCAGATTATGAAGATGCTTTTGATTATGGTGACAATGATCCAGAGATTGATTACGATGATTACGGCTACAATGACTGGTATTGATGAAAAGAGGGATGATACTTTACCGTTACAAACATAACATTACATCTAACCTTATACTATTTTAAAATTGTTTAAATTGTTCGTGATTTTCAGGTGATTATGTGAAATACATTAAAGAAATAATTTTGAATTCTATAGCATAATTGTATTCATCTTTTAACTGCACATAACATTTCATCAATTATACATACATAAATAAACAAGTACACAGAATAAAACAATCAATTAAGACTCAAGTCAAAACTATAACCTAGACTTTATACATGCGCAATAGATTTTTCTGATGTATCCATTTTAGACCATCTTGTATCTATACAGGACTTCACCTTATTAAACCTACAAAAAGAAAATGTTCAAATAAATTTAAATGCTTAAGATATCACGAAAAATAAAAAATTGCCAGTTGCCGACCAGTTTGCAACTTCAAGTGCTCAAATTATACTGGATTACTATCGTTGCAGTTAAGTGTATAAGTCAAAAACATATTAAACAAAGCAAATTTGCTCAATAACTCTAAATTTAGGTAATGAATGAAATTCGTTTAATCAATAAAAAATGAGTACAATTTTTCATGTATAAAATAAATATTGAAATTAATGGTTAACTTCAACTGCATTCAAGATAGTTCGGCGCATCAGTAAACGCATTAAAAGCGTTGTGTGTGATGATACTTAATCAAGAATACCTGCTCAGCTTAAACAAAGGCTTGTTTTCCACCAATTCTTTCCTAAAAAGTAGTTAAACATTCTTTACTCATATTAAGTAAGGATATTGTCATCGAATTGGTGCAAATCCAGTCATCAGTTTCAATGTCTCATAACTCCATCCTTCAACGAAGATAAACTCGGAGTTTGAATTGAAAAATGATAGACTGAGAAAGAGAGATCCATCAACAATATAAAAGCTGGCTTCATTTGAATAACTTCAAAACCATGCAATTTTTCAGAAATAAATAAGTTAACTCAGAGAAACGATACGCACTTCGGTTTAAGTGAATCGCGAAATCGCTTTGCAATTCTTTTTTCACGAACCCTTCTCTCTTTTTCAAGCACCTGCACAGTACATACATAAAAACAATGAATCAATAATCAACATTGGTGTTGACACTCATTAAACAGTGTTTAAGCAACGTCAATTTGACATCGCCAATCAAATATATGAAACGTGTAATGTTATACTTCCATCTTCATCACAATGTTATATAACAACTTTGGTGGTTATTATGTGATAAGAACAATTTTGTTTTGGTGGACGTCAAACGTTCAACTTTAAAATACCTTCTTTTACTTTAATACTTTTTATGTTTATTACGTTGAACATCTTTAAGTTAGTATAGCGCTATTACATCTTGTCAATTTATGCATTTCCTGCATCAATTACGTGTATATTTTTCTTAGACGTTTATTTTTTGATCAGTTAAGTTCTCAGTAAGAAAAATATCAGTATTTTAAAGAGTAGTGATACTTTTTTAACTTTTCAAAAACAGGTCGTTAATTCTTACTTTAGGAAGTTTATTTTATAATTAATTTAAAAACACACTAGGCTTTTTAAAATTATGCTCTATATATGTTTAATTTTATATTTTCTCAGCCAATTTACATTTAGCAGTAACAATCATAAAAAATTGAGTGAAAGATATCAATTGATTGAATGATCCACTTTCCACAAGTCATGAATTACATTTTTCCTTATATTTTATTAAATTTCAATTTTAACTACCATTTGGTTTCTCATTTCTTGAGTGTATTCGGCACTCTTGTGGGCGAGCCATTCTTGTTGGTAAGCCATTGACAACAGTTTTTTCATGTCTTCAGCATTATCCGGTGAAGAGTGATCATCATCTCTGAATGATGGAAACAACACAAAACTACTGGTTTAAAAGTTTTTAGATATTTCCAAGAAATATCGTAGACAGGCATTGAACGAAACGTTAGTTATTTGTCACTGAATTTTCAGATTAAATGAGTGTGGTACACAATAAAGGATAAGAGCCTATGAAATATCAGCATATCCAAATGAATTTTATGATGAGGTAATTATGTGAAATACTTACAAATTTGGTAACTTCAATGCTGAATATTTGTTGGACGTTTTGTTTTTCTTAGTACTTTTCTTTGAAATTTTTGGAAGCTTAACAAACATCGCACGAGATTTTCCATCCTTATCTTGCTTTGTTTCCCTATAAATATTACAGCAAGGATAATTTGACTAGTTCATCAATTTTCCACTTGTTCTTTTCAGCGAAACAGGCAACACCAGACTGACAATGATCAAGGCTCATAAAATGTTATAAGGACGTACGTCACGATGAGTTGACAAGAAATGAAAACCCCTTAAGATGTAATAAGGACGTACCTCACTATGAGTACACAAGAAAAGAAGGCTTATAACATGTAAGCATAAAGGACATCACTATCAGTTAACAAGAAATGAAAGTCAATACTATGTAGGCATAAGTTACGTCACGATGAGTTGCCACAAAACGATAGCCTATAATACGTTTCCATACGTGACGTCACTATATGAGTTAAAAATTGAAGGCCCATAAAATGTATTAATTATGAACGTCACTACAAGTAAACAAGAAATCACTATAATTATAATTATAAAAATTGTCTCACAAACCTTTCCCAAACTGTCATGGAATCATGGCCAAGCATTGGTCTCTTCTTTACCTCCTCATTGGATGGTATGTTGGTTTCTTTTGCTGTGCTTTCCTTGTCATCAGGAACATCATGGGTATACCATTCAGGCAGGACAGCATAACTACATTGAAAGACTTTGGTATTTTTACATAAGAATAAATGCAAAATTGGCCACCAAGGGCCAGTTGACAATTGTACATTTGACCTTCTCTAACATGTCCATGATTATATGCACCTATATAACTATAACACACACACACACAATTGAATGCACACAATTGGACATTGATAACCTACTCATTGCATGATCTCTTGGTATCAGCCTCATTATTGACATTATTCTCTTCTTCATTCATACAAGTTTCCTGATGATGATCAAACCAATCAACTCTTGGATAGGAAACTGGCTCAACAGATGGCTTTGCTGACACAAAACTTAACAAATCTATTAAATGATATAAACCAAAGTTGTTCTCGAGTCGAATGAGGGTTAGGGAATAACTGAACATCTTTAATTGCAGCCTTTCAATGATGCTGGATTGTCGGTAAGCAGTGAACCATATGCAGGCTTACTTTTTCTTCCTCCAGCCTTAGCAAGTCTCACATATTTTGAATCTGTATCACGTATCCATTTTCTTTTAAATTGTGGCAGGTTTTCCTCTGCAATTGATTCCACAGGGTTATGATTCAATCCAGGAATCTGGGAATGAAACGGAGCATTGATATTATTGGATTGCTCTGGGGACTTTCTTGAAGCAGGTATGTGATAAAACCAGTCTAGATAAAGAATTGAGTTCTGTTAGAATTGCTGCAACTAAAAGTGAATGACTAAACTCAGCCTGTACTCTGCAAGAAAGTTAATTCGTGATTATCGTTGAATGCCTGGAAAACAACATGTCCTACAACGCTACTTATGATTTCAATTTTGAAGTCATATAAAATAAAATAAAATGTCGGTGGGAAACACATTACGAGATTTGCTGGACAAATATTAGCATTTGTGGATTTGTAAAAAGATTGGAGAGCTTTAACAGACTATGAATATTTGACCACCACCTTCTGGATATGGAGTCCGTCGTCTTAGCAGACACCACACAAAGACAAATTGATCAATCAAAGGTATTAAAAATGCACAAATAATTAAGCTTGATGAACGCAATATACTGTGTAACATACCTTGCGTCGAAATAAGAGGGTTAGGCATTGCTTTTTGAATTTTTCAGCTCTCTTATCGTACGTGAAGAAAAACGTTAAATTGTGAAAACATTTTGCGTTACCATAGTAACAACTACCTTTACGTTCGCACAGTACATATAACCATGCAATTTTTAACCAATTGATGTTTATTTTGTCAACCATTAGCAACCAAATGCATATAATGAAAATATTTTTACTATGTTTTGACTTTTTGACAACTTTGTTAGTGATTATTTAATTCTAAATGTCATTCTACTGTTAACAGACAATTTTTACAACAACGAATATTTCATAGCAAATAATTCACAAATGTACATACTTTAAGTTTAATGCCATTAAAATATATACTGTTCTAACAATTATATTTCACAATAATTCTCCTTATAAGTGCTTGAGCCTCTACTAGGCATGGATGGTAGACATGCATGATGGCCATCCATTTTACATGAAAAGTCTTTTGCTTTTCCGTCTTCACCAAGTAAATAGTTATCACCATAAAAGGACTTCAATTCAGCAATTGGATCAAGAGGTGCATGATAGAGCTTTCCATTCACTCTGACATTTGTGAACTTTGCACTTTTATCAGATGCAAGTAGTATTATTACTTTCATTGGCAATGAAAATCCTGGCAGTTGCACAAAAATTGATATAGTATCACCATTTATTTCATGTTTATAATCATTTGCCACTGCAAAACCCAGGACTTCTTTTTCTTTGGCATATGCTTTTAAGTGAATAAAATTAAGACGTCCCCATGGTAATATTGATTGTGTCATAATGGCACCAAACAATGTCTCACCATGCAATACAAAATAAATACCAGATTTTCTAAGCTTATTAGCAAGACTTTCTAATGTTGAAATTGCTTGCTCAATCACAAATGGAAATGCAAACAATCCATTTTCATACCATCTTGGAAATTTGAAGTTTTTAACAAGGTTTTCTGTTGAGCAAATATTTCCCAGACGCCTATCACAAATGCTGTACATTTCATTTTCAGGGTTCTTGAATCGCATGATTTTATATTTTTTTGCAAGTGCCACCATGTGCTGCATAGAATTCTCTGGGACAGAGCAAGCACCCATTTGCACAAATAACACTTCAGGTCTGTTTGCCACAGTCAAATGAAGTTTTTTTGCTTGAAGAAAAAAGTCAATAAACATATAGTTCCCAGCTTCAAGATTTTCATCAAAAAGCTCACCATCAAATTTATTGAAGATCCTTGTCTGGGCCATGAAGCTGTGGCTGACTTCATCACAAATCATGATTTCACCAAAGCTTCTTTGGTACTCATATTTTTGTATGATTGTCCAGTTACATAGGTTTAGGGAATAGCACGAGACAACAAGCTCATTGTTATTGAGCAGCATTGAACCTCCAATGATGTCAACACCTGGAGTAAATACCAAAGCATGATGTAGCCATTGTATACCTGTGTCTGCATGTTGTGGTTCAATGATAAAATTTTGTTGTAGTAATACAAAATAAGGTGTATCCACTTCTTTTACAGCCATATTCAATGCCTTGGCCTTACTGGAATACATATCAATAGTCTTAACACCTGGTATTGGCTCAATGATACGGCTGCCCTGGGAAACAACAGATCTGATAATTTTTCCAGCCGGAAATGTATTCTGTATGGATTTAATTTGTCGATGATGACATTGTAAAGAATCCTTTTCTTTTAGCAAAAGTAGTAGAACAAAAGTCACGTTGATTTCAACATTCAAGTTCAGTAACTCTTTCTCGTTGTGTTTCACCATGTGAGTGGCAGGAATGCGTGGAAATGATGAAACGACTTTGTCCTTGCATGTTTGATGAATCTTTTCCAATTCACGATTCAAAATTTGGGCGCCTATTGCGAGTTCGTCGATTTTAATTTCTAAATTCTTATTGCACCAAAATATTGCAATAGACAATAACAGAAGAGCTAGACAAGTGACGTTTAATGTATGGTTAACTAAATTCATTTCTCAAAGACTATCTGGGTTATAACAGCCATTTGTTATTCGTTTCATCACTCGGCGTCTCTTTAGCTCTTGCATTGATAACAAAGCTCCGCCCCTTTTCTCGTATTGGTTGCTAAGGTAACGGGACTATGAATGTTTTATGCAGTGCGGTGTTTGAAATTAAATGAAGATATGATCTTCGCACTTTGCTGGACAATTTAAGCAATCGTCTCATCCCGTTGAGTCACCTGATTTTTTCAGGTCCTGAGACGATTGCTTAAATTGTCCAGCAAAGTGCGAAGATCATATCTTCATTTAGTAACGGGACTATATCAATTATTATACACTTTGGCAATAAATTTGGGAATGCAGTCTTTAATCCAAATTATCAGATAAAATTAAAAGACAACGATTTTTTTGGAAAATGGTAAAGGACTAGAGTACCTTGTCTAGACTTATAAATATTTATTATAACTGGACTCCACTGTACGTGTCAGTTGAGCAACGTTTCCTTTACTTTGCTGTAACATACAAGTGATACAACACGCCAACATCGCTGAATGAGAACATAAACGTGTTCTTTATTCATTAAAAACGTTGGAAACGTGATACATAACGTAACTATGGCAACAAAAACCCTTTCTGTACATAATAAACATAAATTTATTGTTCGCATTATCAAGATAGTAAAACATTAATGTGTCTTCTTACACGCTACTGGTAAATATAAAGTGGACATAATCACTTTACAGTATGAGCAGTATTGGGTATGTTGTACATCATTAATGTTGCGAGTAAAAATGTTTCAAAAGCCTCAAGATAGTTAACTGCGCGACTGCAGTCCTGCGTTTAATGCAGTGCAATAGAAATTTGCGCAAATATCAATGTATTTACGAATAGTAACTGTCCTTAAAAAAATCTATCAAATTATTGCTTAACATTCCTCATTTTATTACACAAGCCTTCCTGTATGGTCAAGATATCATCCAGTTATACCAAAAAGATACACACCTGAATGGACAAACGATATGAGAAATCGACGTCTCATTTTGCAGGTTATTAAAACCTCGTATACATCGTACGAAGCTAATGGTAGAAAATAAAAGTTCTTCTTCGTCTACATCGATACTATACCGTCTTGTTTGTTCAAAAATCTGGGTGGCAGTGTGGCCCGTAACATTATAATTTTTATTTCATTAAAATTCATAATTCATGATATTTTTCTTATGTAGAACTGCAAGCAAGTTAACTATCCTACCGGCCCATTTCACACAAGCATATTTCTAGACAACAGAGGTAAGGTATTACTGTTCACTTCTTATAGTGCAAATGTTGATGAATAATGACACTAAACACGTTTGACATTAGAATTACCACCGTTTGATGTTAGACTTACAACCATTTGATATTAGAGTTAGGTTACGACCGTTTGATGTTAGAGTTACAGCATAGACCTTTGATGTTAGAGTTACAAAATAGACCTTTGATGTTAGAGTTACAACAGACAAGTCTGAAATTAGAGTTACAACAAACACGTTTAATGTTAGAGTTACAACAATTACATTCGAAGTTAGCAGATTCTTTTATTCAATTATGAAGCACTTTATTTTGTACTTAACAGAACGTCTGAATCACGTCGAACCTAAGGAAATGGTGGAAAGCAAAAGGATATTTGTATCGAGAGATAGACTATTAAATCCTTGGATTTATTCCCCTTTATCAAAGTATCGAAGCAGTCTAATGCATCATGTATAAACTCGGTACTGTCTTTACCACAACAGTTGCAATGAAGAACGTGATGAACATTCATGATAGAAAAATACTACTAGCAAAACTTAATACGTCAATTTTGGAAGCTATGATCGAGTACTTCAATTAAAAAATAGTGTTTTTCCAATACTCATGTCACGTCTTATTTATTGTGCAAGTGTTAAATAGAATCAAAATTTAATGCAACTAATGATTGATTTTTATACCATATTAGAATTACATCCTGAAAGTTGTAGAATGTAGACCATTGTTAACTTAGCATGTGGTCAGTTAAAAAAAAGATTCCACCTTCTCGAGCTCGTTTTCTTTGCATGAAAATTGAGTTACATTTTCAAAATCGAGTTAAATATTCCTTATGAAGTGGCCAAATTGGTGTACCAAACGAAAAACTTTATTAAAATTTTTTTCAATACGTACATCAACATGGCAGCCATGACATCAGGTGAAAATGCTCAATGTGTGTGCATATTTTGAAATTAGAAATTTATTAATTCCCTCGAGCAAAAAAAGCTTTTGTGGTTCTAGCACATGAGACAGGTAATATATACACATTGTCTTAATCTAGCAGTAAATTTTAACAACCTGCCAAATTCTATATTTATTCTGTATTTATAAAAATCAAAAGGACAAAACAAAACTGATTAATTAGTTAGAAATAAATTAGCCTTTGGCATTATCTTAACAACAATAGTGATAAATCAAAAACGCACTCAGTTGCAAAAAATCATTGTTTTATTTAGACGGAAAATGGGTCTAGTCTAGTGCCCTGTGGGATTAATCTGTTTATTTATGTATACCTAGAAGGCATAAATACACACAAAGTACATTTGAAATGATCCAGAATAAGAACGACCACAGGATATGCGATGGCACAGCAACGAAGAAATCAAATTTAACAAAGGGAGCGACAATTTGGATATAAACCAATTTACAGAAAGAAATTTGGATTAAAGACCACGTGAAGGGTGAAACCACATCAACGTTGATGTTAAGTAAGAATCAGCGGATGAGTGGAGAGGATTTTCGTCGTAGATTACACGCAAATTATTAACTATCAATGCGGAGTCGGTATCTACACCGACGGTATCTGCCAGAAAAACCACAAATCAGTGAATAAGCATACACTTTATGTTGAAGATTTTTCCATGGAGTGCTGCTTTAACGCAACAGACCAGATATTGTATATGAAGCCAACACAATTTCACACAGGTTATTTCATGACAGCTGGTTTCTTCTTCATAGTATTTAAAGATATAAGTGGCTACGTCGTCAAATATGCAGCCAAAATAAAAATTTGTAAACCTATGGTGGATATGCTCTTGGTGTAACAAACCATGTAGTTCAATTGGAGAGTATGACGCGTGAAATCTGTACGACAATCCTGAAGAATACTCTGCAAAAGCTGAACGATAACGAAATGCATTTCCTACTATAAGAAGGCACGTAAGTTCTTCATAGCTCGTTCTTGGATCATTTAAAAAATGTTATCAACTGGTTGAAAGCCTGATCCATCAACGGCAAACCATAAATGAATCATCGTCATATTTATCAACGACAAAAAGAAATGGAACAATAAAAATACTATTGACAGGCGCCACAACGAGAAATCTTAATATCATTATCGTATGAAACATGCTGTATGTGTAAGATTTGTACAGACATAGTTGCATCTACGTCTTTCGATATAGAACTTATCCAGAGTTAGTTACTATGTATGTTTGTATATGACTATCAATATAACATATTATAAAGACTTCTACACTTTAGCAGTGGCGTAGCTAGCGGTCCCGCTACTCCCGCCCGGCGGGAGTAGAAATTTCCCAAAAAAATAATAAATATTCTATTTGGACATAAGATATACATTATTTCACGAACAATTTGTAATATTATGTTTTATTCGTTCATATTTACGCTTTTATTAGGTGGTTCGTAATCGTAATACAGCAAAATCTCAAGATTTGTTATGTAACCTAGCAACCGCCTTTTCTCGCACATTGCATACTGCGCGTTTCTCACGTATTCCGCCCATCTTCAGAGGGCGGAACATACAATATAATTCTATATAAGAAGTTTTGAATTCTGGTTGGCTAAGGGACTTGACGCATGCTCAAATCTGCTGTTTTATAGTCGAACTCCCGCTATTTTAAATTGGCGGAGGTTGTAATTATTCGACCTTTTAATACGAGTACAGCGATTAGTGATTATCAAATTACGTGTCATTGTCGGTATTAATTTTCCATTGTGTTTACTCTCAAATTGCTATTTTGTATTTGTGTATGACACAATGGCTTCAAGTGCGACTGCAATTTGCTCAACTGATGTTGACTTAGTAAATAGCTTATTAGCTAAACCGTTCTCTGCTCGATCGTCGGTCGAACAGAATGTTATCGTTCATGAACGGCTACTCCTGATTTAACTATCCAAAATAAGGGAAGAGCATTTCAGAGAGATTGGTATGAGGCGAAGGACTGGCTGTGTGGCAGTACAACCTTGCAGAAAGTGTTTTGTTGGCCATGTCTAATGTTTTCCCCAAAAAATCGCCATCGTGGACTAAGAATGGATACAACGATATGCGGAGTATTATGTCTGATGCTAAGAAGCATGAAAAATCTAAATCGCATTTGACTGCTTTCACACAAGACATGGAAAACGTATGGAGCTAGTGAACGAATTGATTGTCTTATGTCCCTCGCTAGAAGAAATGAGATTCAGCGTCACAATGAAGAGGTAAGACAAAATCGAGAAATTTTAAAACTGTTACTGAGGCCGTGCTGTATTTGTCAAAGCAAGAGTTGCCATTTAGAGGTCACAATGAGTCCGAAGGTAGCTTGAACAAAGGTAATTATAGAGAGTTGCTCGAATGTTTTGCTAAGTTTGATTCTGTATTTGAGCGTCGACTGCACAGTAGACTAGCAGAATCTGATATAGTTGGTGACAGAAGATTTACTGGAGTCTCCCAGAAATTCAAAATGATCTTATCAGCTGTCTTGATTCAATTATTGAAGATGAAATCAGAAAGGAAATAAATGATTGCACATTTATGAGTATTCAGGTTGATGAAGCATCTGATGTCTCCACCAAAGAGCAGCTAAGTGTTATTGCTCGGTTTGACAAAGCAAGTGAAATTATGGAGAGGCAATTAGGATTTGTGGATGTAAGTATGAACAGAAATGCCACAGCAATATCACAAGTTGTCAAAGATAAACTTGGTGAGTATTCTAATATAAAAGAAAACTGGTTTTACAAACATATGATGGTGCTTCTGTGATGTCTGGCCATATCAATGGTGTTCAAGCATTGGTTCGACAAGAGTATCCTTTGCTCATTTTGTTCATTGTGCAGCTCATAGATTGAACCTGGTCCTATGCCAGTCAGCCTCATCAATTTCTCCAGTTAAAATCTTTTTATTAATATAGCTACATTCAGCACATTTACAAGCAATGCCCCAAAAGAAAAGCTTTTCTCACATCTAACAACCTTGAGTTTCCTGCCCTGGTGAAACAAGATGGTATTATCGCTCTAGATTAATCAATGTATTGCACAAAAACTATGAAAACTTTTAGATATTTTGAGGGGGTACTTGAACAACCAGCTGGGTGGGATGATGAGTCATTAAGTAAAATAAGTGGCTTACTGCATTATCTTGATAGCTTTCTTTGTTTTCTAGTGTGTTTTTACAGGATTTTAGAACAGTCCACAATTTTGTATTCCATTCTTCAAAATAGGGAAACCCATTTTAACTATGGCATAAGCAAGATTGACAATTTCAAGCAGTTTATTGTGTCACTTCACAGATCAAGCTTTCACCGAGTTTTACCAAACTGCACTAGAAAAAGTAGGCCCACCAGCAACCAGAGCAGATAGTAGATACAATTACAAACAGCTTTATTTTGAGATTATTGATTCCATTAAAGGCATGTTAAGTGAACGATTTCAAGATATTAATCAGTTCGAGTTTTAGACCTTGTAAATCCTAAACTATTTACTACATGGAAGGGCATAGTTCCACAGAGAAGATCAATCTTCTTAAAGATAAGTATAGTCCTCTTTTGACATCCAAACTTTGGAGAGTCAACTTTCCTTCATTTACAACGACAAGGACTTTCACAAAGAGTGCAGTAATGAGGTTCTTAAATACATCTTCAAATTTAATCTCCAGTCGAGTTTAGGTCAAGTGGTAAATTTGTTAAAATTGAATGGTGTGTTGGCAGTGGCAAGTGCTTCAGTAGAGAGGTCGTTTTCTTGCTTAAAAGGGTAAAAGCTATTTAAGAAATAGAATGGGTCAAGGTCGGCAGCTCTTTGTGTAGAATATCTATTCACAAAGATATCATTGAAAAGAAAGAGGAATCAGAGGTGTTGCATAACGAGGTGGTTGAAAATTTGTAGAAAACCCAGGAGGCTGGCCTTTCTTTATAAATGATGAGTATAGTATGTTTTGATATTTGTTCGTATAATACATGGTACTTCATTGAGAAAATTAAGCATAACTTAAAGAATAAAGCCATCCCTGTCTACTTGCCCCAATCTAAACAAGTTTAAACTAACAAGTAGAATGCTAAGAAAATCTCTCTCTATGCACTTTAGAAGTGTCGTATACTATATTTTTTTGTGCTAATACAAATTTCTTCTGTTTATGCAGGGGCAGTGATGAGTAAATTATGTTTTAGGGACAATTGTCTCCTGCGTAACGTTTCTCTGAGCCACCTTTAGTACCTTTTAACTAGTTGCAGTTTCAACGATTGCCACATTAAGAATGCAGCTAACAAAATGGGTTTTTATAAATTATTGTACAACAAATAATTCGCCCTCGAAATCGCAGGAAATGCTGTTTCCAAGGCTCTGGATTTCAAAATTTTCCGGGGAGCATGCCCCGGACCCCGGTCGCCTCCGGCGCGAGATGGATTGGCGGGAGTGACTATTTTTCCTAGCTACGCCACTGCACTTTAGCTGTTTGTACCGACACTCTTTTTACGACTTATTTTTACGAAAATGATATTTGGTTTCTTACATTCTCTTTGGATCGAAGCTCTTCCATAATCTTGTTTCGAGAACTTTAATGGCATTTTTTTGCATTAATTATTACAAAGCAGGAATGGCACATTAAATTGAGCATTAGTCTCCAACGAACTCTCTGGTCTACAACAAGACACAACCTTTCGAGGTTGCAAAGTGGAGGTTCAAACCCT